AGCAGGAGTGTGGAGATAGCAGGGAGGTTCTGGAAGACACTGGGCACAGAGCCCAGGTGTATTATGGGCCCTTGGGTGTGTGTTGGCTGCCTGCTGTTGGCCTTGGAGAGGTGAGGAGAATCCAGATTGAGGACAGAAGCCAGGGTGGGGAGGTTGAGGCAGGAGCAGGAATAGAGCAGTGGGGGCGCGGAGCAGGAGGTGATCCTTCATCTTTAAAAACTTCTTAAAATTATGTTTATGTGTGTGGGTACACATGTGTCACTGCACATGTGTGTATGTGTAGAGGTCAGAGGATAACTTGCAGGAATTTGTTCTCTCCTACCATGTAGATCCCAGGAATTAAACTAAGGTCATCAGGCTTGGGGGCAAGCACCATTACCTGCAGAGCCATCTAGCTGACCTGAAATCCTTCATCTTTGAAGGAGCAAAGCTGAGCGGGCGGGGAAGCACACTTGACTCTTGATAAGGTGCGGCCCTAAGTGGGAGGATCAAGTGTGGTTTTAGGGGATGGGGAAGGAGATGTGGCAGAAAGGGATTTCTGTTAAGGATGCTAGGTCCTTGTGTCAAGTGGTCTCTTGGGAGCCCAGCTTTGAAGAGTAGATGGTCTGGTTTCATGTATCCTGTTCACATATGCTGTGAAGCATAGGAGACTTTAGCACACTGTTTCTTCTTAAAATTTTTTCTCTGATACTGAGCCTCCAGCCTCTCCCTGGGGGATTCTAGGCAGGGCCTCTTCCACTGAGCCTCATCTCCAGCCCCTCCCCCACTTCTTTCACACAAATAGAGAAGGCCAGTGTGAAAAACAGCTGAGCTGATTGACACATCAATGGCAGGTATTTAACCAAACTGTCCTCAGTCCAGACCTTAGACCTAGATCTAGTTAGTTCTTCCTTGGTTTCTTCACTTAAAAAACAATCTTACTTATTCTTTGTCAATTTCATACATATATGTATACAATGTATCTTGGTTCTATCTAGTCCCAATTCCCCACTCTGATTCTCCCTGGATTTTTTAGACAGGGTTTCCCATAGCCCTGCATGGCCTAGAAGTTATGGATCCCAGGTTGGCCTTGAACATGCAGCACTTTTCCTGCCTCAGCCTTCTTTTTAAAAAGTATTTTATTGGGCTGGAGAGATGGCTCAGTGGTTAAAAACACTGACTGTTCTTGCAGAAGACCTGGGCTCGAATCCCAGCACCCACATGGCAGCTAACAACTGTCCGTAACTCCAGTTCTAGGGGATCCAACAGCCTCTTCTGTCATCCACGGGCATTGCACAACATGGGTGCACTTACCTACATGCAGGCAATACACACATACACATAAAATAAAATAAATAAAATACTTTTTATTTTATATATATGAGTGTATTGCCTTCATGCATGTAAGTGCACCCATGTTGTACAATATATTGGAATGTTTTGCCTGTGTATCAGTGCACCACATGCATGTAATGCCTGCTGAGACCAGAAGATGGTGTTGGATCCCCTGGAACTGGAGTTAAGGAGGGTTGTTAACTGTCATGTGGTTGCAGGGAATCGAACCCAGGTCCTCTGCATGAGCAGTCAGTGCTCTTAACCACTGAGCCATCTCTCCAGCCCCTTGTCTCAGCCTTCTGAGTGCTGAGATTACAGGTATGACCTGCCATACCTGGCTGTTTGTTTACAGTTATTTGTTATTATTGTTATGGCTTACAGTTATTAATATTATTATTTTTTTTATTTTTATTTTTCTTGAGACAGGATCTCCCTGTAGCCACAGCTGGCCTGGAAGTCACTATGTAACCATGTGATCTGCCTGCCTCTACCTCCCAAGTGCTGGGATTAAAGGCATATCCCACCATACCCAGCTTGTTACAGTTTTTAAAATTTTATTTTTATTTTTGTTTTATTTAACCTGTATGAGTGTTTTGTCTGCATACATGTAAGTCTGTCTATGCATACAATTGCAGTGCTCACAGAGGCTAGAAAAGGGCATTAGATTCCCTAGAACTAGAGTTACAGATGGTTGGTTGTAGCTGTCATGTGGGTTCTGGGAACTGAACTTGGGTTGTCTGCAAGAGCAGCTGGTGGTTTTAACTGCTGAGCCATCTCTCTAGCCCCTTAATTTTATTTTTTATTATCATGGGGGCAGGTGCGTGTGCCACCACTCACGTGTGGAAGTCAGAGGATAACACTGTGGAGTTGGTCCTCTCCTTCCACCTTTATGTGGGTTCCAGAGATTGAACTTAGGTTGTGAGATTTTTGAGGTTAGCACCTTTACCTATTGAGTTTTATCGCCTGCCCACCCCCCTTTTACACGTGTGTGTGTGTGTGCATGTGCCACGGTGGCCGTATAGAGGTCAGAGGACAGCTCATGGGAGTTGGTTCTTTGCTTCCACCATGTAGATCCTGGGTGTGGAATTCAGGTTGTCAGGCTTGGTGGCAAGTGCTGTTAACCACTGAGCCATCTCACTGGCCCTTTTTATTATTTTTAGAAAGTGTCTCATTCTGTAGTTCAGGCAGTCTTGGAACTCACTATGTAGCTCAGGCTGGCCTTGAACCCACAAAGATCCACTTGCCTCTGCCTCCCAAGTGCTGGGGTCATATACCTGGCTTGGTGGGGGGAGGGAGCACTTTTGAGTCAGGGTGTCATAGTACAAACTTATACTTGCTTTATACCTTGAGTTGGCCTAGAGTTCATATTCCTTCAGCCTCAGTTTCCCAAGGGCTGGGATTACAGGTGTGCACTACTGGGCTTGGCTCTCCTCCGCACCCTTGAGTTTTCCTAGTTGGACCTTCCCCTCCAACTACACTTCTAGCTGACCTCAGTACTCCCCCGAGCCTCTACCCTTTATGTCCTCTGCTCTGGTGGTGTCACCAAGACCCCTCACGCCCAGCTTTTACCCACTCACCTGCTGCCTTGCTTGTTTCTGCTAATGTCCAATGAAGCCCCAATGAGCCCTGGTACCCATCCTCCCACTTCTCTTCCTTGAGTCACCAACACCAGCTTCCAGAGTTTTCTCAAAGCATCTGCTCTCTGCTCAGCCAATCACAGCTTCTCCCGCCCAAACCACCAAGGTGGGAGACGATGCAGAATTTGCTTATGACTTGGGTTTGAGTCCCAGTCCTGGCACTGAAGACCTACATGGCCTAGGGCTTTTCAGTTCTCTTCCCTGTGCGTTCTGTGTAAAGCTGTGAAAAAACACTGACCAAAATCAACTTGGGGAGGAAAGGGTTTATTTAGCTCACATGTCTGGATCACAGACCATCATGGAGGGAAGCCAGGGCAGGAGCTTAAAGCAGGAACCTGGAAAGAGGAACTGAGTCATAGGCCATGGAGGAATTCTGCTTACTGGCTTGCTCCTCTGGTATGTGCTCAGCCTGCTTTCTTAATACAACCCAGGGGTGGCATCACACACAGTGGGCTAGACCTTCCCACATCACTCAACAATCTGTCCCATAGACATGCCCACAGGCCAATTCGATAGAAGAAATCCCTCATTTGAGGTTCTCTCCTCCCAGGTCAACTGAAGCCAACCATGACATCTGGGGCTGGGACTGGGACGAGGCCCAAATGGTAGAGTCCTTGGCAAGCATGGGCTTCCCTCCACAGCATGGCACAGACCAGATGTTGCATGCCCACAATTTCAGTACTTGGGAAGTGAAGACAGGAGAATCAGGAGTTCAAGGTTATCCTTGGATGCATGGCTAGCCTGGGATACATGAGACTCTATCTCAAAAAAGCTAAAACATGGAGATGAGGGGTGGCTTTGTGGGTGAGGGTGCTTGCTATAAAATTATGAGCACTGAGTTCACATCCCCAGCATTCACATAAAAAAGCTGGATGTGATGACAGTTCTGAGGAGATGGAGACAGGTGTATCCGGGAGGGCTCAATGGCCAGCCAACTAGTCTAGCTGAAACTGCAAACTCCAGGTTCAGTGAGAGATGCTAACCCAAAAAACCAAAAGAGGGGCCAGGTGTGGTGGTGCATGTCTTTAATACCAGCACTGCATAGTAAGTTCCAGACCAGCTGGGGCTACAGGGAGAGACCAGCTGGCTACAGGGAGATCTGTCTCAAAAAAAAAACAAACCCAAAAACAATAGGAACTGGAGTGTTGCCTCAGCAGTTAAGAATGCTTGCTGCTCTTCCAGAAGACCAGAGTTCAGTTCACAGTACACCCGTCTAGTGGCTCAAAACTGCCTATAACTCTAGCTCCCGGGGAACCAATACCCTCTTCTGGCCTCCCCAGGCAGTTGCACTCAAGTGGTGCATACACACACAGGCACACATTTTAAAAAGACAGCAGCAGTACTCTGGGGCTGGAGAGACGGCTCAGTAGTTAAGAGCACTAGCTGCTCTTGCAGAGGGCCCAGGTTTGGTTCCCAGCACCCACATGGCAGCTGATGCCCTCTTCTGGCATTGTATGCACATGTGCACTTACATGCAGGAAAAACACTCATAAAAGAAACAAGGCCAGGTATAGTGATCCACACCTTTAATCCCAGCACTCAGGTGGCAGAGGCAGGTGAGTTTGAGGCTGGATTGGTCTACACAGTGAGTTCCAGGTCAGCCAGTGCTACATAGTGAGCCTGTCGTCGTCGTCGTCGTCATCATCATCATCATCATCATCATCATCATCATCATCATCATAAAATTTAATATATTGAAAACCCATAAGGTAGAGGTCCAAAGAGGAACACACCCAGTTTTACCTGGCTTCTACATGCGCACAGGAAGAAAAACAAACAGTTGCCATGATGCCTCTGGCTGCTTCTTAGAGTAAAGCTTTAATGCATCAAACACCCAGAATTCTCTCTCACTTCCCAGCTGTTGCACAGCAGCTCAGTCTGCCTGGAACCCCTTCACTGTCCCTCAGGCTTGCACCTCTGTGCCTACTCCATAGTCCCTTGCTGGTCCTATACCCACCTCCTTTCTTTGGGTCATGACATCGTGTATCTGGGTAGGTGGGGTTATGTGTTGATCTGACCTGCCATGTCTCTCTCCCTATACCCTTGCAGAGCACGTGCCCCCGGAGCTGTGGGAACCTTTCTACACTGACCAGTATGCACAGGAGCACGTGAAGCCTCCTGTGACACGGCTGCTGCTGTCTGCGGAGCTCTACTGCCGAGCCTGGCGCCAGGCACTACCACAGCTTGAGCCACCTCCCAGCCCCGCTGCACTGCTGGCCCTGCTGGCCCGGAGGGGCACAGTGCCCTCACTGCCTGAGCACCCTGTGAGAGAGGCTGACCTGAGACACCAGCCCATTCTCATGGTAGGCTCCGCCCCTGGCCTGTAAGGCCTTGCCCACCAGACCTGGCACCTCCCCTGAACCTTCAAGGCCCGAGGTCTGCCTTCCTCCAGCCCTTCTCTCCCTCAGGCCTGAACCTCAACACCAACCCTGGCTCCTCTCACCAAAGCTACTGCAACCTACCAAGCATAGCTCCTCCCTCCAAGCCTGACTCCTACACCAGGCCTAGCTCTTCCCACCAAGCCTAGCCACTCCCTCAAGCTCAGCTTACCCAGAGTAGATCTTCCCACCAATCTTAGTTCCTCCTATCAAGGCTAGCTCCTCCCACCAACCTGTTTCTTCCACCAAGCCCACCTCTTTCCACGCGTCTTCTCAGGCTAAGCCTAGCTGGGTCCCTCATGCTCAAGACATCAGACATAGCTCCTTCCACCAGGCTTAGGTCCTCCCACTAAGCTTACCTCTACTTACCAAGTCTAGCTCTTTTCACTAAGCCTAGCTTGTCTACTTAGCCACGCCTACCAAGCCACTCTCAAGCTCCACCTATCAAACCTGGCTTTTCCCACCAAGCCCTGCCATTCACACTCTGAGATCAGACTTAGCTCCTCCCACCATGCCTGGCTCCTCCCCTCAAGTTCCTCCCATGAGACTTGGCTCCAAAGCTTTCCATCTCCTATATCTCCTTCCTTTCTTCAAGTTCCTCCAACAGAGTCTTGTTTCATCCCAAAAGAGACATATCTCAGCCCTTGATTACCCTATCGGGCCCACTCTATTCTAAGGCTTGATGTCTGACCTGTGTGCCTCTTCTAGAACTCAAGGCCTCACCTACCAATTCCCCACCCTCCAGGTTCTTCCTCTTCATTGGTCCTGGAGTTAGAAAGATAGCCCCCTTCCCTGTCCTCTTGTCTCACCCTCCAGCCCTTGCCCCCACAGGGAGCCCATCTAGCGGTCATCGATGCTCTTATGGTTGCCTTCTCCTTTGAGTGGACAAAGACATTGCCTGGTCCCTTGGCTCTGAGCAGCTTGGAGCACAAACTTCTTTTCTGGGTAGAAACGGTAGGTAGTTGGGCCGGGATGAGTAGGGATGGTGGTATTGCTCAAGTGACCAAGCACTGACTTCTCCCTAATCCTTAGACTGTTCGGAGGCTACAGGAAAAGACAGAGCAAGAAGCAGCCCAGCGGGTGTCACCTGTAGCCCCTACGGATGGGGCAGCTCCTGCCCAGCCCTCGGTGAGGCTAGGCGATGAATAGATGAAAGGAAGGAAGGGTGGGTGGGTGAGTGGATGGAAGGAAAGATGGATGAATGGATAGATAGATGGATGAATGGAAGAAAGGAAGGACAGATGAATGGAAGGATGGATGAATGGAAGGATGAATGAATAGAAAGATGGATGGATGATCATGGGGCTAGGCGGGAAGAGATGGTTTGTACCTCCTGGCTGTTGCTGAGGTTGGGGGGTGGGCCTGGAGATGACTCTCTTTTCCTCTCTTTCTCTCTTCCCCTCTCCCTGCATCGGCCCCTGCTGTTTCCCTTCTCTGTCCCTCTGGCAATAGTGCCCCACACGCTGGTACTGGAAGCTGGTTCCTGTAAGTGGGGCTGTCTGTCTGCCTTGTCTGCCTGCCCTGCTTGTTGCTGTCTGTGTCCATCTCTGCCTGTTGGCCTGCATCTCCCCATCTCCCCCAGCTGTGAACAATAGAGGTGGCACCCAGCCCTGGGGACCAAGAGAATCCCCCTGTGACCAGAGAGAGAAGGGGAATCTCTGCCATTAACAAAATGGTTGTACACTCCTTTCATTCCAGCCTTTGGAGACTAAGGGAGGAGAAATGCAAGTTCAAGGCCAGCCTGGGGCACATCTAGAGACCTTGTTAAAAAGAACCTAAAACAAGCTGGGCGTGGTGGCGCACGCCTTTAATCCCAGCACTCGGGAGGCAGAGGCAGGTGGATTTCTGTGAGTTCAAGGCCAGCCTGGTCTACATAGTGAGTTCCAGGACAGCTGGGGCTACAGGGAGACCCTGTCTCAAAAAAAAAAAAAACCCAAAAAAGAACCTAAAACAAACATGAAACAGAGGATTGGTTCTAGAAAGATGGTTCAGCAGTTAAGAGTGCTTGCTACTCTTGCCAGATTTGGTGTCCAGCACTGACATTGGGCAGCTTACAACTGCCTGCAACTCCAGTTCCAGGGAATCTGATGCCCTCTTCTGGCCTCCATGGGCACTGCATGCATGTGTGCATACCTACACACAGATACACACGTGCATATAAAATAAATGAATCATCTAGCCAGGTGTGCTAAGGCACACCTTTAATCCCAGTGCTTGGGAGGCAGAAGCAGGTGGATCTCTGTGAAACTGAGGCTACCCTGGTCTATATAGTAAGTTCCAGGCCAGCTGGGGCTACAGAGAGTTCCTGTCTCAAAAAGACCAAAAACGAACTAATTAATTAATTAAAATAAAATAAGTCTTCTAAAAACAAACCCAAGAGGGTAGATGGGCTTTCCTTTAAGAAGGGAGGACCCCTGAGCCTGCCCTTAGCTGAGGAGAGGGGACCCCTCCAGTCTACCAAATAAGTAGATAACTAATCTCAAATTGTACATCCGTAGAGGGGGTCTTCCTAGCCAAGAGGAAGATCCTCAAATCTAGAACAAGGTAGAAACATCCAGAAAGCCTCAGCTTCCCTAAAGGGGGGAAAGATATTCCCAGGTTTGGAAGGCTTTAAGTCTTTTCTCCCCCACCCCCATCCTTGATTAACTGTGTGACCTTGCACAACTACCTATACCTCTCTGTGTTACACAGAATTTAATCCTGCAGCAGATAAATAAGGGAAAGTAAGGGGGTTGGGGGCTGGATGTGGGTCTCCATCTTTGCTCACTGCTTCTCTTCACCCTGGGGTCTATTGGAAGGGGGGGTGAATTCTAGTCCTGCCTACTTGCTTCTTATGCATCCCTTCCCAAGCTGGGGGCCTGGGTTCATCATGGGAGGTGTGCTCTTTGCATGGGAGGCTGCTTTTGTGGGGTTCCTCAGGGCTGGGAGGAGCTGGGGTCCCCGAAGCTGGCCAGAGTATGATCAGGGATAGATGGCTGAGGCTAAGGACAGGGATCAGGACTCCTCTCTTCCCCGGGGGGGGGGGGGCTTTGGGGCTCAGCAGGCCTTGCTGACGGCCGCTCCTTCCCCCCCCAGCACGCAATTGCCTTCTGTTTGAAGGAGTCGGGGAACAAACCCCCTATGGTAATGTATCCCCCCTCCCCGGGGTCACAGGAGGCTCTGTCCCTAGACCCTGCTGCTGGCCTGGCTGCTTGCAGAGAAGTCTTCCGCCTCTCGCTGCTGCCCCTTCCCTGCTCCAGGCTGGCCCTCTCTCCCTTCCCATTCTGGCTCTGGGGATCCCCAGCTTCCCACCCCTTCATGGTGGAAACCCCAGGCCTCCCTGCCCAGCCTGCATGACCAATGACCTGGGGCACACCAACCTGAGTACTAACCTTAACCTGCTCCTATCTGCAGATCCGATACCGCAAAGACCGTGCTGTCGCCCGTCGGGCCCCCTGCTTTCCAAACGTGACTACCCTCCAGGACCTAGCCACTGGGGCTGCTCTGGCTGCCACCATCCACTGCTATTGTCCCCAGCTTTTACGGCTTGAGGGTAAGAAGTGATGAATTTATGCCCAATCCCAGAAAGCCAGGCATCTGTCTACAAGACCAGTAATTTAGTGGCTATGAAACAGCTTTAAAAATTCTTCCCTCTTTCTCTCCTCCCTCCCTCCCTCCCTCCTTCCCTTTCTGTGTATGAGTGTTTTGAATGCATGTATGTAAGTGTACCACCTGTATGCCAATGTCTGTGGAGGCCAGAGGAAGGCGTCAGATCCCCTGGAACTGAAGTTACAGATGGTTGTTAACCTCCATGTAGGTGCTGAGAACTGAACCCAGGTTCTCTGCAAGAACAGTCAGTGCTTTTAACTGCTAAGCCATCTCTCCACCACCCCTCTCTTTTTTTGAGACAAGATCTCATATAGCCCAGGCTAGCCTCAAACACACTATGTATCTGAGGATGACCTAGAACTTCAAATCTACCTACCTCCGCTCCCTGAATTCTGGGATAACAGGTCTGCACCAATTACCATGTCTGGTTAATGTAGTGTTAGAGATGGAACTCAGGGCTTCTTGCATGCTAGACAAGCACGCTTATCAACTGAGCTACAGCCCTAGCCCCTGATAAGGCAGCTTCTAGAATCAGAATATTTAAGTTTGCAGCTCTCTCATCCCTTAGCTGTGTGACCTTGCACACATGTCTAAACCTCTCTGCTTCATAGAGTTCATGCCTGCTACAGAAACGTGTTCGAGACCCACTTTATGTTGCTCAGGAACACATAGAGGCATACCTCTGGTTTCCTAGACAGTGTAACATTCTCACTGAAGGAGACAGATAATAAATTCATATAGCTGTACATTTTGGGTGAGATGAGGTGCCCCAAAGGGCAAAGGGTGGCTAAGAAAAGGTTACTTGTTTGTTTATTTATTTATTTATTATTTATCTTGTCTTAAAAAATTTTTTTTCAATATTTTATTATTTTTATTTTATGTGTATGCATGTATTGCCTGCATATATGTGAGTGCACCCGTGTCATGCAATCTGAGGAGGTCAGAAGAGGGCTTTGGATTCCCCTGGAACTGGAGTTAGGGATGATTCGTAGCCGCCATGTGGGTGCTGGGAATCAAACCCAGGTCCTCTGTAAGAGCAGTCAGTGCTCTTAACCGCTGAGCCATCTCTCCAGTCCCTATTTTGTCTTTTTGAGACAGGGTCTCCCTGTAGCCCCAGCTGTCCTGGAACTCACTATGTAGACCAGGCTGGCCTTGGACTCGCAGAGATCTGCCTGCCTCTGCCTCCCAAGTGCTGGAATTAAAGGCATGCGCCACCATGCCTGGCTTTATTTTGTTTTTTAAAAAATTTTATATGTATACTTGTTTTCCCTGAATGTATGTAAGTGTGCCCATGTTGTGCAGTGCCTTGCAGAGACCAGAAAGGCTGTCAGATCCCCCTGGAACTGGAGTTATAAATCAGTTAGCCACCATGTGGGTGCTGGGAACCAAACCTGGATCCTGTGCATGAGCAGCCAGTGCTCTTAACCACTGAGTCATCTCTCTAGCCCATTTTGTTTTTTTCTTATTGTTGTTTTGAGATGGGGTCTCACTGTGTATCCCAGACCTAACTCAAACTCTCAACCATTCTGCCTCAGCGTCTTGTGGGCTGGAATTACAGGTGTGTGCTATCACATTTGGCTAGGAAAAGATTTTGTTTTTGTTGAGATGGGGGTCTCAAGTAGCCCAGGCTAGTTTCAGACTCACTATGTAGCCAAGGATGACCCTGATGGAACTCAGGCTTTGTGCATTGTAGGCAAGCACTCTTCCAACTGATCTATATCCTCAGCCCTTAGGAAGTTTTTTGTTTTTGTTTTGTTTTTTAAGATTTATTTTATTTTTTGACACAGGGTCTCACAAGGTGGCCTTGGCTGGCCTGGAACTTGCCATTTAGAACTGGCTGGCATCAAACTTACAGAGACCCACCTGCCTCTGTCTCCTGAGTGCTGGGATTAACAGCATGTGCCACCATGCCTGGCTTTTATTTTATTTCTTTATTTCTTTATTTTGGCAGGGTCTCCCTAGTCCCAGCCCACCTGGAAGTCACTGTGTGAACCAGGCTGGCCTCCATCTCACAGAGATCCTCCTGCAGAGGAGGGCTGGGATTGACAGCATGCACCACCATGCCTGTTTTTATTTTATTTTATTTTTTATGTGTCTGAGCGCAGGTATGTGCACATGAGTACAGTGCCCACAGAGTCCAGAAGAGGGTGTCAGATCCCCTGGGGCTGGAGTTTCCAGTGGTTGTGAGCTATCTGACATGGGTGCTAGGAATTGAACTTGGGCCCTCTGCAAGAGCCTAGGAAAAGGATTTTGAGGAGGCTGGGTGGATGGCTCAGTTGGAAAAGTGCTTGCTCCACAAGTTTGAGAACCTGAGCTGAGATCCCCAGCACTAAAATAAAAGGCTGGGCACAGAAGTGAATACCTCTAATCTCAGTGTTGAGGTGTTGGAGATAGGAGGATCCTAGGAACTTACTGGTCAGCTAGCTGAATCAGCAAGCTCCAGGTTCAGTGAGAGACCATGTCTAGAAAACTAAGGTGGAGAGCAAATAGAGGAGGGCATCCAACATTGATTTCTAGCCTCTAATACACACACACACACACACACACACACACACACACACACAGGACAAGGATAAACAAAGGTTTTGAGCTGAGCCTTCAGGACCTAAGTGTTCCAAGTAGATGCAGAGGCCGGACTCATACTTTTTAAAAATGTGTGTGAGTGTTTTGCCTGTTTGTGTGTAAGTGCACCTGTACATGGCAATATCTGCAAAGACCAGAAGAGGGCATCAGATTACCGGGAACTGAAGCCATAGACCTTTGTTTGCCCATATGGGTGCTGGGAACCAAACCCAGGTCTTCTACAAGAGCAGCCAGTGCTCCTAACTGCTGAGCTATCTCTCTAGCCCTATTTATTTTTATTTTATGTGTATGAGTACTTGCTGCATATATGTAAGTTCACCATGGATGCAGTGCCTGCAGGGGCAGAAGAGGGTGTCAGATCCTCTGGAACTAGAGTTACCAGCTAACCAGTTCTGCCATATGGGTGCTGGGAATTGAACCCAGGTCCTCTGCAATAACGGCCAGTGCCCTCAACCACTGAGCCGTCTGTCCAGCCCTTCACACTTTACAGGAGGCACCTGGCACAAGACCTGGCTCGTAGGAAGGCTTCCCTGGGTGTTGGTGGCTGGGCTTCCCTGCGGCCCCGATCTTCCTTCCCATTGAGTTGGGAGACCCAGACATCCTGTCTCCACAGAGGTGTGTCTCAAGGACCCTATGTCTGTGGCGGACAGCCTGTACAACCTCCAGCTGGTACAGGACTTCTGTGCCTCCCGCCTTCCCCGTGGCTGCCCACTGTCCCTGGAAGACCTGCTCTATGTGCCACCACCCCTCAAGGTAAGACCATCTCGGGGGATTAAGATTCGGCATCTGAGGCAAGTGTCCAGGGCTGTGCCACTCATCTGCGAACTCTCCCTTCCACCTGCAGGTCAACCTGGTAGTGCTCCTGGCCGAGATGTACATGTGCTTTGAGGTTCTCAAGCCCGAATTTGTGCAGGCCAAGGACTTGCCTGATGGACATGGTGAGCTCTGGGGGTCCTAAGCTCAGCCTGGGGAGGACTGTCGGAGAGTCAGGAAGCCCTGCCTCACCTGACCTCTTTCTCTATGCATGCGGTAGCTGCCTCTCCTCGGGGTACCGAGGGCTCGCCATCCCGGAACAACAGTGGCAGCAGGTATGGGTCCCGGTGGGGATGGAGTTCCTCGTCTATAGTGGGTTCTTCTTCCCACTTGGATGCTGGGACAGGGCTGGGAATACCCAGGAGAGAAGACTGAAGATATGTCTGTTTGGCAGTTCTCCTGTGTTCAACTTCCGTCACCCGCTACTGTCACCTGGTGGCCCCCAATCTCCACTCCGAGGATCCACAGGTGAGGAGAGAGTGTGGCTTCTGTCACCAAGAAACCTCAACCATGAGCTTGGTGAGGTGGTCCATGTCTTTAATCCCAGCACTTGGGAGGCAGAAGCAAGGGGATGTCTGTGAGATCTAGGCCAGCCTGGTCTGCGCAGCAAGTTCCAGGCCATCTGGGACTTTTGGGAGACCATGGAGGGAGGGAGCGAGGGAGGGAGGGAAGGAGGAAGGGAGGGAGAGAGGGGGAAAAAGAGAGAGAGAAAATGCTCAACTGTGAGAATGCCCCGGCTGATTCATGTTGAGTTCTCCAGTGGCCCTCTTTGGGTCTTTCTGGCTTCCAAGGTGGCTAATTCCTCAAGATTCCTTGCATGACACCAAATATCCCCAGCTACCCATGTCTAGTTTTGTTTCGCTTTAATTAAAATTTATTTACTTTTATTTTATGTGTATGTTTTTCCTGTATGTATGTAAATGGACTCATGTCATACATGCCAGTGGAGGCCAGAAGAGGGCTGCCCCTGGAACTGGAGTTACTGATGATTGTGAGCCACCATGTGGGTGCTGGGAACCAAACATGGATCCTCTGCAAGAGCCAGTGCTCTTAACCACTGAGCCGTCGATCCAGCCCCATCTACTTTATTTTTTTAGTGACGTTTATTTATGTATGTGGATGTGCACATGCCACCACACGTGGAGGTCAGAGAACACTTTTTAGAAGTTGGTTCTCTTTTATTATGTAGGTCCCTGGGATCATCAGGCTTGGTGGCAATTCCTTTACATACTGAGCCATCTTGTTAGCCCAAAAGAAATTGCTAACTTTATTTTGCAATACTAGGGATTAAACTTAGAGCCTCACACATGGCTAGGCTACATCCAACACACATATCATACTACGTAGTTAAGCCATCCATCCCAGAAGTTCTAGCTACTTATTTTTGGAAACCTCTGATGTAATCAGACACATAATGAATGACCCATCGGTGACTCACTTGGTGGCATTGCAGAGGTTGCCCCCAGACACCAGCCAACCCCATCCAGTGACATCTACTCCTCCCCCCAGTGACCACTCACTGTCCTTCCCCAGGCTCCCTGAAGTCTTCTCCATCCATGTCCCATATGGAGGCTCTTGGGAAGGCTTGGAACCGGCAGCTTAGGTAAGTGCATCTCAAGGGCCCCTGTGGGCCATGGAGCAGGACTGGGCTGGGCTGGGCAAAGGTTCATCCCAGGGGCTGACCCCTCCCTCTGGCCACCCAGCCGCCCCCTCTCCCAGGCTGTGTCGTTCAGCACCCCCTTTGGCCTGGACAGCGATGTGGATGTCGTAATGGGAGACCCTGTCCTGCTCCGCTCCGTCAGTTCAGACAGTCTGGGTCCCCCGCGTCCAGTGTCGTCATCGTCATCATCATCCAGGAATCCTGCTCAGTCAACCCCAGAGCCTGGAGACCTCCCCACGATCGAAGAGGCCCTGCAGATCATCCATAGTGCTGAGCCTCGGTTGCTCCCTGACGGGGCTGCTGATGGCAGCTTCTACCTCCATTCCCCTGAGGGGCTCTCCAAACCACCACTGGCCTCCCCCTACCCTCCCGAGGGAACCTCAAAGCCACTGTCTGATGGGCTCACCAAAGCACCCATTTATGTATCCCACCCTGAGACCCCTTCAAAACCATCTAGCTGCCCAGCAGGGGAGGTATCAAAATCACTGGCCCCATGTGAGGGGTCACCAAAAGCAGTGGCTTCATCCCCCGCAGCCAACAACTCTGAAGTGAAGATGACCAGTTTTGCTGAACGCAAGAAACAGCTGGTGAAGGCTGAGGCCGAGTTGGGGATAGGGTCCCCCACAATGACTCCAGCAGCACCCGAGGCCTTGAGTTCAGAGATGAGCGAGCTAGGAGCCCGGCTGGAAGAGAAGCGCAGAGCCATAGAGGCTCAGAAGCGACGCATTGAAGCCATCTTTGCCAAGCACCGGCAGAGGCTGGGCAAGAGTGCTTTCCTGCAGGTGCAGCCTCGGGAGGCTGCAGGGGAGGCTGAGGAGGAGGCTGAGCCAGGCTCAGTCCCCAGTGGGGAACGGCCAGCAGGTGAGGGCCAGGGTGAGCCATCCTCAAGGCCTAAGACAGTCACCTTCTCTCCAGAGTTGGGTCCCGTGCCCCCTGAGGGACTAGGGGACTACAATCGAGCAGTCAGTAAGCTGAGTGCCGCCTTGAGCTCTCTGCAAAGGGATATGCAAAGGCTCACGGACCAGCAACAGCGGCTTCTGGCCCCTCCGGAGGCCCCTGGACCTGCTCCTCCACCCGCGGCCTGGGTCATCCCTGGACCCACCACTGGGCCTAAAGCCGCATCCCCCAGCCCTGCCCGGCGTGCGCAAGCTGCCCGGCGCAGCTCAGGGCCAGGTCCTAGCCCTACGCCTCGTAGTCCAAAACACGCTCGGCCTGCGGAGCTGCGGCTGGCTCCCCTGACAAGGGTGCTCACACCACCCCACGATGTAGACAGCCTACCCCACCTACGCAAGTTCTCACCAAGCCAGGTGCCTGTACAGACTCGCTCTTCCATCCTCCTCTCTGAGGGTACACCTCCTGAGGAGGCTACAACCAGACCAGGCCTCATCGAGATCCCCTTAGCCAGCCTGGGAGAGCCTGCTGCTGATGAGGAGGGAGATGGGAGCCCCCCTGGAGCTGAGGATTCCCTAGAGGAAGAGGCATCTTCTGAGGGAGAGCACCGGACTGGGCTTGGATTCTTTTATAAGGTGAATTGCCTGGGCAGGTGGGTGGAGGGATGGATGGGTGACTGGATGGAAAGTAGAGATGTCCTAAGGGTCAGTAAGGGAGATGAGAGGTGAATGAATGGATGGTTGCTTGGATAGGACTTTGCTGATGGTTGGGTGGGTAGACTGACAAATGCGTAGACTGGATCAATAGATGGCTAGGTGGATTGATGGATGGATAGGTGGCTAGATAGATAGGTTGGCTGGGTGGGTGGGTGGATAGATGGGAAGATGGCTAGTTGGATGGATAGGTTGAGATGGATGGATGAGAAGTGAGGATATCCTAGGAGTCAGTGAGGGGGTGAGAGGTAGGTGGATAGATGGAGGGAGTGAGAGGTAGGTGGATAGGGCTTTACTGATGGATGGGTGGGTAGACTGACAAATGTGAAGACTGTGTGGGTAGATGGAAAGGCAGATGGGATAGGTGGGTGGGTGGGTGAGTGGATGGATGGATGGATGGATGGATGGATGGATGGATGGAAAGTTGACTGGATGACTGCATAGATGACTGGGCTGATGGATAGATAGGTGGGTATGTGATGGATCAATAGGTTGGCTGACTAGTTAAATGGGTAGGTAGATGAATGGATAGTGGACAGATGGCTAGGTAAGTGGCTAGATGGATGAATCAGTTGAATGGGTGGGTGGATGGGTCGGTAGGTAGGTGATTAGTTTGGCTAGGTGGATATATGTATGTATGTATGTATGTATGTATGTATGTATGTATATATGTATATATGTACAGGTGGGGAGGTGGTTAGATAAGTGTATAGATTGGGTAGGTAACTGGATAGGTTGGCTAGGTGGATGGATAGGTAGATGAATAGGTTGGGTGAGTGGATGGATGATAGGTTGAGTGGATGGGTTGTTTGGTAGGTAGATGGATAAGTTGGGTGGATAGATGTTAGATGACTTGCTATGTTGGTGGGTGGGCAGATGGGTGCATAGACAGAGGGAAGGTAGATTGGTAGACAGATGGACAAGTGGTTTGGGGGCAGATGGATGGGTGAGTGGATGATAGATAGATGGACAAGTATGAGGCGCTTGGCAAGCAGGGTCTTCCATGGTGGGATCTCCCAGCATGGTGCTACCAGTTCCCCTTCCTGGCCTACTCTGTTTGGTCATCCTCCATCTTCATGCCACCTGAGCATGGGCCACCATGGTGTTTTACTTGAACATGTACAGTCAGCTCCTGCTGGTCTCTAGTCCCTTGTCATTTCCTCATGAGCAGTTACAATGACCTTATACTCCTCTCCCTAGCTCTGGATCCTAGTCATTAGCTTCGTGACTCTGCCTAGTTTGTTCTGGCCTCAGGGCCTTTGTACTTTCTATTCTATCTGCCCAGGAAGCTCCTCTCCCTCCTTCCCCACTTTAGTCCTCATTCTCCAGGTCTGCTTCCAGGAAGCTTCTCTTGGTATCCCCCAAATAGGATAGACGGCAGTGTAGTTTGGTAGCACCCCAAGCATTGTTCTAGCACGAAAGGTCTGTGTGCCATGTGATTGTCTTTCCTTTTGTGTCAAATGCTTTGCGTGAGCAGCACTTAGGTCTTTAGGACCATGCATAAAGTAAGTACCAACTAGTGGCTGGAGAATAATTGCTCAGTGGTTAAGTGCACTGGCTGCTCTTGCAGAGGATCTGGGTTTGGTTCCCAGCACCCACATGGTAGCTAACAACCATCTGTAACTCCAGTTCCAGGGGATCCAACACCCTCTTCTGACCTGTGAACATTGTATGCACATGTGCAAGTAGCACACATGTAGACAAAACATTCATATACATAAAAATAAAGTAGCACTAACTAAATACTTTTAGAAATTTTGCAAAGGTCAGGTGAACCACTGGCTGGGTCAGTGGAAAAATCAGGCTCCAGCCATGGCAGAGAAGAGCGGTCAGCTAGACCCCATGTCATCCCCCAGGATGAAGACAAGCCTGAGGATGAGATGGCCCAAAAGCGGGCCAGCCTGCTGGAACGACAGCAAAGGCGAGCAGAGGAGGCCAGGCGGCGCAAACAATGGCAGGAGGCTGAGAAGGAGCAGCGGAAGGAGGCTACGAGGTGACGCTGGGTCCAGTTGGGAAGGTGGAATCCTTGGCCTTTGATATTGCTGCCCCAGTGACCTCACATTCTAAATCCTATTTTGCTGGCTCCCTTCCATTGAATTTGCAGGCTTGCTCAAGAGGAGGCCCCAGGCTTGGCCCCTGCAGCCCCTGCAGGCCCCACAGCTCCAGTCAACCTGGCCCCTGCTGCCCGAGCCCCAGCCCCAGCTGAAGAGGAGGTGGGCCCACGGCGAGGTGACTTCACGAGACTTGAGTATGAGCGCCGGGCTCAGTTGAAACTGATGGATGACCTTGATAAAGTGCTACGACCCCGGGCCTCAGGGACAGGAGGACCAGGCCGAGGTGGGCGCAGGGTAACCCGGCCACGCTCTGGTTGCTGCGATGACTCGGCCCTGGCACGAAGCCCAGCTCGTGGCCTGCTGGGTGAGGACCCTATGGGGGTGGGGCCCCATAGGTGTTGGGGGGCAGTATCTATTGGATGTAGAGTATTTGAGGATATGTGGTGGGGGGGTCTCCAATGAGTTGAGGGGAGGGGGTCTTCCCTGGATGAATAGTAAAGAATACTTGAGGCCCTGGGTTCAGTCCTCTGTACTGCAGAAAAAAAAAAATTCCTCGCCATGTTACGACGGGTGTGGTGGCATTTGCCTGTCATTGTAACACACAGAAGGCTGAGGCAGGATTTTGAGTTTACCAGTCTAGGCTACAGAGCAAGTTTCAAGCCAGCTTAGGCTATATAGTGAGATCCTATACCAAACTACGACTAAGCATAGTGGTACAGGGGGCTTCCAGCACTTAGGAGGTAGAGACAGGTGGATCTCTGTGAGATCGAGGCCAGATCGAGGTCTAGTGAGTTCCAGGCCAGCTGGGACTATAGGAGACCTTATCTTGAAAAAAAAAGAGGCTGCAAAGGCTGAAGGGGGCTTGAGAAGACCCTGGCCCCTTGGGCATTTAGAGTCAAAGGGACCTTAGGTAGGGCTAACTGGCACTAAATCTTTCTAGGCTCTCGGCTCAGCAAGGTGTATTCCCAGTCCACGCTATCCCTGTCCACTGTGGCCAATGAGGCCCCCAATAACCTTGGTGTGAAGAGGCCCACATCTCGGTGAGCTCTGTCTGGGCAGATCTCTCGGAGCCCATTGATGTACATCTATGGGGGCCTAGAGTGGGCTATGGCTTAAATGTGTATATAGGAGAAGGCATATATGTACACAGATGGGATATGTGTGCAAATGATTCGACGGGCCTGCCCCCATGCACCTACTCTGCACCTGAGGGCTTCAGCCTATGGGAGGGCATTGCATGGACCTGTGCGGGTATGCACATGTAGGTCTTTTCTATCGTGTGCTGGCTTGCTTCTTCCCTGGTTCCTCTGCACATTGGGAGACTTGATCAACACTGACCTCCCTTTCCTCCTCTCCCCTACAGTGCTCCATCTCCATCTGGCCTCATGTCCCCAAGCCGCCTGCCTGGCAGTCGAGAGAGAGACTGGGAAAATGGAAGCAATGCTTCATCACCAGCATCCGTGCCCGAGTACACAGGTAAGAGGCTTTAGAGTGTGACAGACCTACAGGTGCTCCACCTAGCCCCTCTGGTCATCCCTGACTGCCTTCCTGCCCTCCAGGTCCCCGGCTGTACAAAGAACCTAGCGCCAAATCTAACAAGTTCATCATCCACAATGCCCTGTCACATTGCTGCCTGGCAGGCAAGGTGAATGAGCCACAGAAAAACCGAATTCTGGAGGTGAGCCCCATACCTGCCTGGGTGTGTGCATGTAGGGCTAGCAGGTGGGTCAGTGGTCCAGTCTGACCAGCTGACCTGCTTCATGCCACCGTCCCCTCAGGAAATTGAGAAGAGCAAGGCCAACCACTTCCTGATTCTCTTCCGGGACTCAAGCTGCCAGTTCCGGGCTCTCTATACGCTATCTGGGGAGACCGAGGAGCTGTCACGGCTGGCGGGCTACGGGCCCCGTACTGTCACTCCCGCCATGGTTGAAGGCATCTACAAGTACAACTCCGACCGCAAACGGTTCACCCAGATCCCTGCCAAGACCATGTCTATGAGTGTGGACGCCTTCACCATCCAGGGACACCTCTGGCAGAGCAAAAAGCCCACCACACCCAAAAAGAGTGGTGGCACCCCCAAATAGCACTTGCCTGGCAGGTGCACTGGCTGGGTCTGTTGCATTCGGGCCATTGCCCTCTTGGGAGGGCAGTCTGTTGGCTATTCCTGGGTCCTGTCTGTCCCCGGCCTTGTCTTAGGTGGGGCTGGAGTCCCCACCCCCTAACTTTTGAGTCTGGTCTTGCTGTGGGGGGCTGAGCTGGGAGGTTCAGGGACTCAGGGCTCAGTTCAGTTGCCCCCTTGTCTGTCCTCCCCACCTTCTTGAATAAAATAATTGAAAAGCTGAGATGTGTGGTATGTCTGAGGCTTGGTTGGATTTTTGTCTTATTCTCTGTCACCAACTCCAGCCTATCTTCTCTGCCCTGATGCTGGCCTTGCGAAGGTCTGTGGTGACTTTCCTATCCATACTCCCTCCCCTGGGATGTTTTTAGCTGCCTCTGAACTGACCTGGCACGAGGCTCTAGACCAGCTTTCCTCTTCTGGGTCTTCCCAACCCCCACCTACTAATTTCCCTGCTCCATATGCCTGTTACTGGTCTTGGCGTTAGATCTGCAGCCAACTTCTAACTCTACCTCCGTCTCCTGAAGCCAGTTTCTAGGCTCAGTTACTGCCTCTTGTGTTCCCCTCCTGAAGCCCCATATCAGAGGATCCAATTGCCACCTTAGGTGCAGGGCTCAGGTGTAAGGCTCAGGTGTAGTCTCATGTGGCAGCCCCAGCTTCCCTTGAGTGCCAGATTCCTACAGCTCACTCCCTAAGGCCACACCTCTGGTCCCATGACCATCCAGCAGTCCAAGCCAACAGCCTGGGCCTCCCTGTGTCCCTGGCTGCTCCCTGCCCACATGGCTGCCTACGTGACTTGCTCAAAGCACAAATCTGATTATGTCCCCTGATGCCTAAAGCCCCCTTAATGCTTACGGCCCACTAATGGCTTCCCAGAACTTAAGCAGTAAGGCCTACGCCCTGCATGTGGCCTGCAAACCAGGCCTGGCTACTGGCCCATTGCCAGGGATACAAGTGCCTTGCTAGTAGCTTTGCAGAGCTGCACAGGGGCTCCGCAAAGAACAATGACAGGCATGCAAGTGGGGCCAGGTACCCCTAGGGTTATAGTCCTCCCCGCTCCCCCATGCTTGGGGCTCAAGGAAGCTTCTTTCTGGACAAGCTTGACAAGAGGCCTGGGGCAGGAGAAGGGGACTGGTCTTGCAGCATCCAGAACTGGCTCTGCAGGGTGAAAACAGAATGTCTACCTGCCACCTCCCCCAACTACCCCACCTCCTGCCCCAGCCAATCTGGGCCCAGGGCCAGGCAGTTCTGAGCTGGCAAGCCTTTGGGCACCTGGGCAGCAGGAATGAGACTGAGACGATGACGTACAAAGAGAGGCTGTATTTAAAGGGGTGGTTGTGTGGATGGGGTCGGGGGTGGGGGGTCAGTCTTCCTTTAGGCTCCCAAACACAGCAGCTGGCACACTCTGCTGTTCCAGTCGGACTTCTGTGGGGGAAGAAAGATGGAGGTGGTTAGTCCTTTGGGGAAAAAGGGGGGACCCACTTCTGCCCTTGACCCTGACCACTGACCATTGGGCTCCAGATCCATCTCATCCTCATCCTCATCCTCGCCCAGTTGGATCTCTTCGGGATTGGCCTGCTGAGCCAACTCTGCCAGCTCCTCCCGGGATGCATCACTCCTAGAGGGGCAGAGGACAAGCTGCCTCAGTGGATCCCCCCCAGAAGCCTCCTTGAAACCTCCCTTCTGTGAAAAGGGTTAGACTACCACCCCGACCTGCCCACAGCCCTCACCTCACCTCACAAAGAAGATCTTGCTTTGGGCCCGAGAGGGCTGGTCCCGCTCTGCCTCAGCTGCAAGCTGTTCTGCCCGCTGTTCTAATAGTTTCATGTCATCCATGCCACTCTGCCCGGGGGCCAGGTCAGACACTGGGGGTATAAGTGGGGAAGGGGAGGTCAAGGTCAGACTCCAGGCCCTCTCCCAGGCATAGGAGACCAGCCCCTGAAGAGTTCGCAGCTGTGGAGCTGGAGTGATGGCTCAGCAGTTAAGAGCACTAGCTGCTCTTGCAGAGGACCCAGGTTTGGTTCCCAACACCCACATGGTGACTAACAAGCACTTGTCACTCCAGTTCCAGGGATACTGACGCCCTCTTCTGGCACCTGTGGGCACTACATGCATGTGGTGTACTTACATATATGCAGGCAAATTTTTTAAAAAAGTTCCCATCTAAGGTTCCTAGGATTGACCCCAGGAGATCTAGGCTGGGTAGTGGATGCTCTGGGATGAGTGAGGTCACTAACCACGTAGGCCCTATGTGGGCCCAGCCACAGTAGGGAAAATGCTGCAGCAACTCACCAGTGCCTGTGGCGCTGCCTGACACCTTAAGCATCTGCGAGGCCATGAAGTTGACCTGTGTGTTATACGTGGCCTGCACGCTCCGTCGGATCCTCAGCATCTCCCTGATAGTATCCTCGTTGCCATGCCGGACCTCAAAGTCTTTCCATGTCTGCCAGAACGCCCCAGTTGTCTGCAGGGGGGCAGAGGCATGTTGATGAGCCAGGCTACAGCATCTGTGACGTCTGGTCCTCATTTCCCCTACCCTAGATCCAGCCCTTACCCGGGGGTCGCAGATCTGGGAGCAGAAGCTGTAGATGGCTCGAGCGCGGTCAATCTCACCAAGCTTGCACTCCATGTCTGCAAAGCGTAGGCACATCTCTCGGGCATGCTCATCAGATAGCACCTGGTATCATTGAGTCAGGAGAGCAGGGGTGAGGCATGGCAACTCAGAGGGGTCCCAGCACAGGGCCACTGTCCCTGGGCTTCAGGAAGGCCTCCTGTTGTCCCACACACACTCAGGCTCTCTTGAATCCTCCAGTACCTCTCCCCCATCCCGTGTTCCCTGTGGTGGGCACCTCGATGGCCTTCTGGTAGATGCCACGGGTGTGGGTGACACCGTAGATCTCAGCAGCCCGCTTGATATAAATGTTAAACATATCATACTGCTGGGTGGGCTCCACAGCCCTGGTGGCACGATCATATACAGCCATGGCATGGCGGGCCAGGCCCCACTCCTCCTCTAGCTGTGCGTACAACAGGTACAGGGCTGCAGAGGATGGGAGAAGAGAGGTCTGGTCAGCAACTGGGCCCACACCACCCATCCCCGCATCCTGGAGCAGCCCACAGCCTCCTCACTTTTGGCGTATTTGGGTGGGCAGCCATCCAGCGCCTGCTCGAAGAGGTCACGTGCCCGCTCCAGCTTTCGGCCTCCATAGCGGGCAATGAATTTAGTCAGGTAGGTGCTCCAAATGTCAGACACATTGGGCCACTTGAATAGTGAAATGCCACGCTCATATGCCTGTCCCCAAAGAGTCATGTGTGAGATGAACCCCAGCACCCAGATGCCCTAGGCTCATGTCCAGCACGATGCTGTCCAGGGTGCTTTCCTTGCCCACCTCTCCATCAGGGAAGTATGTCACCCTGTCTCCTTCCACTATCAGGAAGGACCCATGGGCAGGGGTGCAATAGGCACTCTCTAAGCACAGGGTCTGGTACCTCATGGGTGACATCTGGGTGAAGGTGGGGTAGCTCTTAAGCTCTACAGACTCAGATTACAGTGTCCTCGGAGAGGGCTCATACTCTTGGGCAGAGAGGCTAGGGGCATAAGCATACACAGATGCAGCCTCCCTGCCTGTGAATCCACCTATGATTACCACACAAACATACCCATAGCCACTCAGGCAGTGGGATGGACTCACCATGTGGACATTCAATTTAGAGACCTATATCCCATCATCGGAGCAGTGAACAAGGAGAACCACATACACAGCACCCATATCTGCTCTACCTCACCCATGCACATGAAGGCAGGACTTGGAGCCTGACTGTGGCTGAACTGTGCCTACACCCCACACCATTCATATACCAAGGTTCAAGTATGTTATTTGGTAATGAGGCCACACAGCTAAAATGACATCATTCAGGTGGGCCTAACAAGCCATGACTGGTGACCTTATAGGAGATCAGAAACTGAGGGTGTAGAAGTAGTAGCAGCCATTGCCTAGCATGCACAAAGCCCTGGGTTCTATCCCTAGCACTGTCAAAAGGGAAGGGGGGGATCATCCCCTGTGATGGTTAATACTGTCAGCTTGACAACAAGATCTAGACTCATTTAGGAGACAAGCCTTTGTACAGGTTTGGGAGGGTTGTTATTTTTTTTTCACAATCTTATGAGTATTTTATCTGCATATATGTAAATGCGCCATGTATGTGCAATGCCCACAGAGGCCAAAAGAGGGTGTCAGCTCCCTTGGAACTGGAGCTACAGATGGTTGTGAGCTGCTATGTGAAAGCTGGGAACTGAACCTGGTCTGCTGTAAGAGTAGCCAGTGATCTTAACCGCCTAGCCATCTTTCCAGCCTTTGAGTAGGATTATCTTAATTAGATTAACTGAGGTGGGAAGACCCACCCTAAATGTGGGCAGCACCACTCATGGATCTTGGGTGCATACAAAGGAGAAAGCACCAGCATTGATCACTCTCTGGTTCCTGACTAATATATGCAATGTGACCAGCTGCCTCCCTCTCCTGCCCCGTGAGCCAAAGTAAACCCTTCCCCTCTTATGTTGCTTTTGTCAGGTATTTTGTCCAGTACCAGAACGGTAACTAATACAACTCCTCACCAGCCTAAAGAGATCAGCACACACCAGGGGCTGGAGAGATGGCTCAGCTGTTAAGAGTAGTGGCTGCTCTTGCAGAGGACCTGGGTTCAGTTCCTAGTGTCACATGGCAGCTAACCATCTGTAATTCTGGCTCCAGCAGATGCAACACCCTTTTCTGGCCTCCGTGGGAACTGTACCTATGTTGTTTACCTACATACATGCAGTCAAAACACACATATACAAGCCAGGTGTGGTAGCAAACACTTTTAATCCCAGCACTCAGGAGGCAGAAGCAGGTGATTGTGAGTTCAAGGCCAGCCTGGTCTACATAGCGAGTTCCAGGCCAGCTGGGACTACAGAGATAACCTATCTCAAAAAGACCAAACCAAACCAAACCAAACCAAACAAAAAAACAACAAAAAACCACTCATACACACACATAAAATCAAAATAAATAAAAAAAAATTCAGGTAACAATGTGAGCACACAGGAACAAGAGGTATCTGAAAACCATAGAGGAAGCAGCCCCGGCATACCATGACCTTGACTTGCAGCCTGAGGCCCCTGCTCAGGGCCAACCTCACCTTGAAGCTCTCCTCAAAGTACTTGTGCTCTTCCAGGAACATGGCATAGTTGATGACAATCTGTGGGGTGGCAATGCGCAGGTCCAGGATGCGGTCATAGACAGCCTTTGTTGACTGTGTGGATAAAGACAAGGGTCAGGGTATATTTGGCTTTGAGCTGGGAACTGGCTCTGTGTCCTTCCTGCCCACGCCCACAGCTGACCTGAAAGGTACCCAGGCTCTCTTCCAGGTCAGCAAGCATCGACCACACCTTCAGTGATTTGTACACGCGGTTCTGCACTGGCTCCGAGGCGTCAAAGTACTCAGCCCGGCGAGCAGGTAGTGCTGTTGCTTTCTATGGAGAGATGGTGGCAGAGGTAAGGAGGTGCTGAGGGGCTATCCTTAGCCCCACTATACCCCTTAGCTATACCCCATACTCCAGGATTGTCCTCAGGTCCTAACCCGCAGCAGCCTCAAGGCCTCATCGTAATTCTCATGGCGAAGCTCTAGCTCACCGCACTGGCACCACACACTAGCCAGGTCGTCCACCTGCTTGAAGTTCACCTTGGTGGCCTTCTCCAGGATGACACGGGCCTGTGGTGATGAACAGAGGCTATGCTGGTTTGCCACGTGGCCACCCAGTTCCACTGAGAAGTGAGCAGATGCATGCACAAACCACACACACAGCACAACACTTACATCATCCAGCTGTCCATTGTCCTCATAAAACTTAGCAAATGCAACCCACAGGGTGTGGGGCTTGCCTGTGGCCTTGAAGGGATCCACTGTCTGTACAGCCTCTGTGTACGTGTTTATGATCTGAGCAAGAAGGTTGAGGTTAGGCTGCATGGTCAAGGCCCTACAGCTGGGGGCAGGGTAGGGCTGCGGTAGCTCTGAGGGAAAGAGGAAAAAGGGTAGGGGACCACCACACACCTCCCGGGGGCGGCCCTGATGTAGGGCCACACGCTTGTGCCATTCGTGGACATGGTGTGGATTCTGGCGCAGCAGGACACTGTTGAGGAGCAGTGGCCGTCGACTGATGAGCTGCTCAAAGCGGGCCAGTCGCAGTTCTAGGTCAACGTCATCTGGGAACCATAAGCACATTTGCAAACCCAGAGAGATTGGGGGAGATGGTGCAGGCATTTGACTGATGTCCCCTATGCCTACTTCCCTCCTACTCCCAGCCCATCATTGTAGATCTCAGAGACCCTCCTGGACCTAACCCCAGCCCTGCCACACTGTGTCCCCAACTGTGGCTACTCCAGGATGTCCTGGCTCCACTGTCCTTCCAACCTCCAGCCTCTCCCTGCAGCCCCCTTGTCCCACCCCAGTGGCTAGGAACTGCTGCCTCCCCTTTCCCCAGCCCACTGTTCCCACAGCTCACCCTCCTCCTCCCGCCCCAGCTCAGAGGCAGTCTCCATCTTTGCTGCAATCATGCTCTCCTCAAACTGGGCGTAGCTGTCAAACACCTGGGTGAAATCCCGCACAGTCATCACAGTGCGGATGGCCTCTTCATACACATCCCGAGCCTGTGGGGGACAGGGCAGGGTGAGGGGAAAGTGTAGAGGGGATGCACATGTGCCCATCTGCTGAGCCCATGAAGACAGTGTGTTCAACCCTACTTCCAAACTAGAATTCTTTAACTTTAAAAAAAAAATTATTTTTATTTTTATGTGTATGAATGTATTGCCTGCATGTTTGTGAGTGTGCCTGTGTCGTGCAATGCTGCAGAGGTCAGAAGAGGGTTTCGGATTCCTCTGGAACTGGAGCTGAGGATGGTTCATAGCTGCCATGTAGGTGCTGGGAATTGAACCCAGGTCCTTTGTAAGAACAGTCAATGCTCTCAACCACTGAGCCATCTCTCCAATCCCTTTTTTAACTTAAAAAAAAAAATTTGCAGGGCATGGTGACACACACCTGTAGTCCCAGCACTTGGGAGGCAGAAGCAGGCGGATCTCTGTGAGTTCAAGGCCAGCCTGGTCTACGTAGTGAGTTCCAGGACAGCTGGGGCTTACAGGGAGACCCTGCTTCAAAACGACCAAAAAAAAAATTTTTTTTTTTATCTATTTTTACTTTATGTGTATGCGTTAATTGCCTGCATGTAGGTAAGTGCACCCGTATCATGCAATGCCCATGGAGGACAGAAGAGGCTGTTGGATCCCCTGGAACTGGAGTTACAGACAGTTGTTAGGTTAGCTGCCATGTAGGTGCTGGGATTCAAACCTGGGTCTTCTGCAAGAACAACCAGTGTGCTTAACCGCTGAGCCATCTCTCCAGTACCACCGCCCCCCCTGTTTTTTTTAGTCTTTTTTGAGACAGGGTCTCCCTGTCCTGGAACTCACTATGTAGACCAGGCTGGCCTTGAACCTTGAACTCACAGAGATCCGCCTGCCTCTGCCTCCCAAGTGCTGGGACTATAGGTGTGTGCCACCACGCCCAGCCCAGCCCCTTATTTTTATTTTATGTGTATGTGTGTATTACCTGCATGTAGGTAAGCACACCCATGTTGTGCAATGCCCGCAGAGGTCAGAAGAGGCTGTCTGATCCCCTGGGACTGGAGTTACCAATAGCTGTTAGCTGCCATGTGGGTGCTGGGATTTGAACTCAGGTCTTCTGCAAGAACAACCAGTGTTCTTAACTGCTGACCCATCTCTCCAGCTCCCCAAACTGGAATCCTAAGCAGTGTGTGGTGGGACACACCTTTAGTCCCAGCACTGGGGAAGAAGGTGGATCTCTGTGTGATCAAGGCTAGCTTGGTCCACATAGTGAGTTCCAGGTTAGCTGCAGCTATAGGGAAACTCTCTAAAAAAACCAACAAAACAAAGTGCAATTCCCAAGCAGCCTTACCTACCACCAGCACCTGTGGGCTGAGCAGTGCCCAGTGAGATCGAGCCCTGGCTGCCCATCCCATCCCCAAACTGCCTGAGCCTGGAGCTGCAGGGACTTCTTGGTATAAGCTGGGTGACAGCCCCTTGTGCAGAATCGTCTCAAGGCTCAACTGAGACACCTGTGGAAAGCACTTGTGGTCCAGTAAGAACCATCAAGTAACCAGCAGCACTTCATTCCACAGAACCCACTCAGCTTGTGTAGCTATTTCATTTATTTTTATATTGTTTTATGTGTATGATGTTTTGCCTGCATGTATGTATATTCACTATGTGTGTGCAGTACCCACAGAAGTCAGAAGAGGACATCAGATCCCCCGGAACTGGAGTTACAGGCAGTGATAAGTCACCACGTGGGTGCTGGGAACTGAACCTGGGTCCTCTGCACCACTTAACCACTGCACCTCTTAACCACTGAACCAGCTCTCCAGCCCCACACTGTGAGTTCTGAACCTGCCTCGCCAGGCCCCCACCATTCTAACTCCCAATCCTCTGAGAGCACATACTGTAGGCCCCTCTCCCAATTTCCTTGGGCCACAGTAGCTCTGGGAATTCTCAGAACCTCTGCAATCCCCCAGCATACCACTTGAAAGCAAGATGGCAAAGACAGTCAAGTCATGCTAAGCCCTGAGGTGGCCATCTTCACATTAGACACCTGGTCAGTGCTCCATTTGTGTCACTACACCAACTCCTTACACGTGAGGAGTGGCTATCATGCCCACTTTGCAAATTGGGACGCCCAGGCTTAGAAGAGTCCAGGTCATACAGCTAGGAGTAACTGAACCATACCCTAAGTTGGCCTGCCCCAAAAGTACAGACCTGGGACTGTTGTACCCACCATCACTGCCAGGATGGCAAATGTGGGCATGGATGTGAATGTGCATCACACACAGCATGTGTGCAAGTGCACCCTGCCTATGCACTGTGTGTGTCCCCCAGAGACCTGTCCCATGACTTAGGCCCAGGTGCCTGCATACCTTCTCAAAGTGGCCACTGCGGATGTAGTAGTCAGCCAGCGAGCACCATAGCTTGCCCAGCTGGTCTGTGAAGCGTGTGAGGCCGCCTCGGATGATGGCATCCACATTGAGGGACTGCACCTTGTCCGGATTCTGGGAGATGAGGTCACACAACTCATGCCACAGCTGTGGGATACAGGGTGTGTGGGAGATGTCTCAGTCTCCATCTGGGAGGGAAGGAGGCCTCTTGCCCAGTCCCCACCGCCCTCACGGGCCCACCTGATAATTGGACTTGCCAGCCTTGGACACAAAGCGTTCATCGTTCACCACAGTGGCCAGGCGCTGTGCAGCCTCATCTAGCCGGTCACTGGACTTGAGGTACTCGATGTACTCCTCAGCGCTCTCTGGGCTCAGCTAGGGAACACCCACCACACTGGGAGTAAGTGAGGCTGCAAGACCACACCTCCCTCCTGACTTAGAGGCTCTAGGCCTTCCGCCATTCACCCAAAGGTTGTTTTGGCCAATAGCCAATCCCACCACCCAGCCTCGGAACCATGGAAGTCCAGCCTGGGCTCAACAGTCCAGCTTCAGGCCTTACCAGTGTTGGCCTTTGGGTTTGCTTTGATATCATGGGTCTAGCCTTGACTACAGTAGTTGTGACAGTATTGTCAGTTTGACAGAATCAAGAATCACCTTGGAGATGGGACTCTCAGCATGGAACTCACAGAGATCCACCTGCCTCTGCCTCCAGAGTGCTGGGATTAAAGGCCTATGCCATGCTATCATGCTTGGTGACCTGTGAGGATTATCTTGATTATGTTTCGTTATGTGGGAAGATTCATTTTAGTTTCCTAAGCTGGGGATCCTGGACCATGGAGTTTTGAGAAAGCAAGGTGAGCACAAGCACGCATGATGCATTCCTAGTTCCTGTGGATGTCATATGACCAGCTGCTTCAAGCTCCTACCACCTTGGCTTTTCTTCTATGATGGGCTGTACCTTGAACTGTAAGCCATTAAATAATAAACCCTTTCTTTTAAAGTCAGGGTGTTTTATCACAGCAACAGGAAAAGAAACTAAGACAGGATCTAGCGTAGGCTTCCAGTCTCAGTCCTGACTGGTTCAGCCTCTGCCCTCTCCTTTAGCCTTTACATCCCTCACAACCCAGTCCAACCCTAATACTAATCAGCCTCGCTTAGACTCTGATGGTCAGGCCAGGACCTGCTTCTGTCACAATCCCTCACCCAAATAACATGAAGCATGTATAGCAGACATTGTAAGCCTGCACACACAGTGCTTTACCTGCAATGCTGCCTGTTCTTGGTAGTCATGCTCTGACCATATCTTTTTTTTTTTTTTGGTCTTTTTTGAGACAGGGTTTCCCTGTAGCCCCAGCTGGCCTGGAACCCGCTATGTAGATCAGGCTGGCCTTGAACTTACAGAGATCCACCTACCTCTGTCTCCCAAGTGCTGGGATTAAAGGCTCTGACCATATCTTATTCCCACCTCTGACTATGGCTGTGGTCTTATATTTCACACAGTTGGGACATTCTTGTGTCTACCTAGTTAAACTGAAAGATCCATGCAAGCGACATTGCCCTATGCTCACATGCTGTCCCCAGCTCTCATCTCTATGACTGCTGTGGACCAGGACTGGCTAACTATTTGGAAAATAAAGAAATCATGGCCAAGCACGCTGACTCACACCTTCAATCCCAACACACTGGAGGCAGAGGCAGGCAGATCTCTGTGAGTTCAAGATCAGGCTGGTCTACATAGTGAGTTCCAAGCCAGCTGTGGCTAAAGGGAGACTGTCTCAAAAACAAAAACAAAAACACCCCAAAAGAAATCATGGGGGTTGCAGGAAGACCCTGTGTCAAAAAGACCAAAAAAAAGAAAGAAAAAAATCATGGGGCTGGAGAGGTGGCTCAGCAGTTAAGAGCACTGGCTGCTCTTACACAGGACCTAGGTTCAGTTCCCAGCACTCACAGCGTGGCTAACAACCACCTGTAACTCCAGTTCCCTCTTCTGGCTGCTTCAGGCACTGCACACACATGGTGCACTTACATATATGCAGGCAAAACATTCATACACATAAATTAAAAATAAATCAAATGCAGGCAAAGCACTCGTATACATAAAATAAAAATAACTCAAAGCCAGGTGTGGTGGCACATGCCTTTAGTCCCAGCACCTGGGAGACAGAGGCAGGTAGAGCTCTGTGAGTTCAAGGTCAGCCTGGTCTACATAGTGAGTTCCAGGCCAGCTGGGGCTACAAGGAGACCCTGTCTCAAAAAGAGAAAGAAAGAAAAAAAAAAAAAAAAACCTCAAAAACAGTTTTTAAAAAGAAATAAATTCTGGGCTGGGGAGACAGCTCAGTGGGTGAAAGTGAAACGCTTGCTGTAGAGATGTGGGAACTGCAGTCTGGATCACTGGTACAAAGACTGGGCAGGCAGGTCAGCCACCTGTAATCCCAGCACTGGGGAGGCAGAGATAGGGGATCTGCAGGGCTAGCTGGGTAGCTAAAACTAATTGAACTGGCAAGTTCTGAGTTCAATAAGAGACTCTACCTCAATAAATAAAAGTGGAAAGTCATCAAGGAAGACATCTACTGTTAACCTTGGGCATACATGTGCCATCCCCACCCCACACACATACACAAATGAAGAAATCACAAATAAAACCTATGCACCCTTAGGAGTCTCTCCCTGCAGCCTATCTGTTGGGTGACAGGGACCCAATGAGCCAGGGCTTGGAAGCTGAGCTGGGGAATGGGTCCACTGGATGGTGTTTACCTTCAGGAAGCGCCGGTAGCCTCGAACAGCAGTTTCTGGCAGTGGGTGGGAGCGCAGAAAGCGCAGGTACAGGGGCCAGATTCGAGAGTGCTGTGTGATGGGCAGGGCTCGGAGGGCACGGTCAAAAGTGCGGCGAGTGTGTGTGACACGTCCCTGGTCCATGAGAAACTGGCAGTAGTCTAGCCACAGACGGGGCATCTAGAAGTAATGGGAGAAATGGGCCGGGTCTGAATCATGCACTCTACAGCCTGGCCACTAGACACCAGATGTCTATGGCCCAGATACATCTGGACTATAAGGGCAGTGAGACCTGGAGCTCTCAATGGTGGGAAGTGACAGGGCTCCAATCCTTCGTTCCTACCATGCTTCAGTCCCTCTGCTTTGTGCATGCTCTAAGCCCCTCCTGTGAGAATAACAGTCATCATCTTGATCAGAGCAGCTATGACTACATACAAGAGACCCTTAAAATGCAGCCTATTGAAGTTCCCTCACAGAAGGATGGGGTAGGAAGGGTCCATGGACCCTCACCTGAGACTGTGGCTGCTCCCTCCTGCACTTCCCTCCCAAGTGTATGTAATTCTCTCTATCTGCATGTGGCCTCATGGTTTCAGGGGATACTAGTATAAAAAGACTGAGGCTAGCTAACAAAAATGGGGGACTCAGACTGGGCTTGGGGGCATAGGCCTTTAATCCCAGTGCTCAGGAGGCAGAGGTAGGCAGAGCACTGTGAGTTCTAGGCCAGCTGGAGATATGCAGTGAGACTCTATCTCAAAAACAAAAAACCTAGGCTGCAGAGATGGCTCAGCTGTTAAGAACACCAGCTGCTCTCTCAGAGGACAAGAGTTCAATTCCCAGCACCCACATGGCGGCTAACTGCCTGTAGCTCCAGTTCCAGGAGATTTCATACCATCTTCTGGCTTCCGTGGGCATTGCATAACACAGGTGCATTTACATGTGGGCAATGCATAACACAGGTGCATTTACACTCACACACACAATAAAAATTTTAAAAAGATTGCAGCTATGGAAAGTTGTCATCCATGCTGTGGTGAGACTTTCTGGTGATGCGGCTGCTCTGCGATCATCCATGCTCCTATAAGTAACCCCTCACTCAGGCTCTGTAAGTAAGCCCAATAAACTCATTGGTACCCCAAACTGAACTTTGATGGACTCATACTTTGGCCTGTCCTTGGCATCCTATAAGGAGGGGTAGACATTTCCCATCTCCCTAGAGAATTCTCAAAACAGTCCAGCTCCCCATACACCCCCCTCGCCCAGCTCCCCACCTTGTGCATGAACACAAAGGCCCTCTCATGGCAGTTGTTGACATCTTCATAGGCAGGGTCTGCCACACAGCGATGCTTCACCTGTGCCCGGCGTGCCTTTAGATAACGGTACCAGAGTTTGTAGCTGGGGAATAGAAGGTGAATGCTGATGGGTTATGAAACCTTCTTTGCTCTAGAAGCAACTGTGGTAAGAAAAGGGATGGAGGAGGGGTGATGAGTCTCAGAGGGAGGAGGAAGGACTGGGACTTAGGGAAAGGTGTGTGACCTGTCAGGGGCTGTGTTTCAGTGGTCACTTGGAACCCACTACTGCTTGTGTTGACTAGACAGCGAAGGGTGTGGGCTGGTGGGCAGGGTCACAGAGAAGGCAGTGCGCACCTGCAGGGCAGCAGTTTGAGTGCCCGTTCGTACAGCTGATTGAGCCGGGGCTTTGGTGCCCCCTGTTTGAACTCGATGTAGCGGAGCCAGCATTTGACTGAGAACTGATTCCTCATGATTTCTTCCTCATAGGGAAGATCCTCTTCTTCCTGCCAGGGCCAGGAAATAGGCAGAAGACAGGCTTATTCTTAGTGTCCAAGTGAAGCCACACCCCACTAATGGGGCTTAGCCCCAAACTCCAGGCTTCTAGAATATCAGGCATCACCATGGTGGAGGGGTGTAAACCTGTGATCACAGCACTCTGGAGACAGAGGCAGGAGAAATGCCAGAAGCTCAAGGGCATCCTGGTTTCTACAGCACATTCTAGACCAGGCATGGTTATATGATGACCCTGACTCAAAAAATAAAACAGATGTTAAGGACAAGGACACATGTCTTTAATCCCAGCAATGCGGAGGCAGAGGCTCAGCCTCGTCTACATAGTGAGTTCCAGGCCAACTGGGGCTACATAGTGAGACCTTGTTTCAAAAAGAAAATCAAAACCAAATGAAGCCAACAACAACAAAACAAAAAAGATGGGGGGCTGGCAGGATGGTTCAGAGCGTAAAGGCATCTGCCATCAAGCTTGAGAACTTGAGTTCAATCCCCAGGGCCAACATGGTAGGAGAGAACAGACTCCTGAAGTTGTCCTCTAACCTCCACATCCACATAATGGCACATGTGCAATTCACCTCCTGCACATAATAAAATGCAAAAACCAAAATTCAAAACCAAACCAAAGGTAGAAAGATGGTTCAGTCAATAAAGTGCTTGCCACCCAAGTATGAAAACCTGAGTTCAGATTTGCAGCACCCATGTAAAAGCCAGGTGTCTATAATCCTAGTACTGAGGAGTGGAGACACGCAGATTCCTGGAGCTCACTGGCCAGCCACTTAGTCAACCAGTGAGCTACAGGCCTAGTGAGAAATCTTGTCTAAAAAAATAAGGTGGAGGCCAGGTGTGGTGGCGCACGCCTTTAATCTCAGCGCTCCAGGGCAGAGGCAGGCGGATCTCTGAGTTAGAAGCCAGCCTGGTCTACAAAGTGAGTTCAAGCCAGAAGGCCAGCTGGGGCTGCAAAAAAAAAAAAAAAAAAAGACAAAAAAAAGAAAGAAAAAGAAAAAGAAAAAAGTGGAGAGTGACTGAGGAATATAGTTAGTATCTACCTCTGTCCTGTCGTCCATGTATGTGTGCATACACTCATGTATAAGACACATACACACACACACACACACACACACACACATTTTAAAACAAAGAGGCAAACAGGGTCGTGCTTAAGTCCCAGCACTTGGGAGACAGAGGCAGGCGGATCTCTGAGCAATCGAGGGCAGCCAAGTTTACAGAACAAGTTCCAAGCCAGCTGTGGCTACAGGGAGACCTCGTCTAAACAAACAAAACCAAAACAGAAGGAGGGGTATGGTACAGATCATCAAGCCCTTAATCCTGGACACCAAGAACATGGCTTAAAGGCTGGGCCTCTAGTTCAGCCATCGCATTTTCACCATTTTAGGATCCAGTGGCCACCCACATCACGAGGTCTTTTGTTCATACTTCCAAGTTCTCGTAGCCCTTGACACCAAGTTTTTACCCAGAAACAAGAACCTTAACCTGGTCACTATGCCTTTACCTGTCAAAAGCCATGCCATTTCCTCATTTCCCATTCCCCTCCTGTTTCCATGTCTCCGCTCGGTCTGATACGTCAAGGCCTTAACCTGAACAGCAGCTCTTTAGTCCCGCCACCAGGGATCCGGTTTTGATACCAGATTTTTATTCCTGGCCAGCCTACAGTTTTGACATCTCTGATTTGATCCGTTAGGATCTCCCAGGCCTTGGGCAGTATAATCTGGACCTAAACCACCCCAAAGTGCCCAGACTCTGGCCCTTAGGGGGCTCCAGCTTTCGATCTCCCACGCGGTTCGCCCCAGGCCCCGCTGCAAACTTACAAAAACAAGGTCCGGCCTCTCCGGCCGCGGGACGCGCGCCATCACCACCATTTTCCTGGATTTCCAGGTACTGACAAGTGTCGCGCTCTAATGACGTCACCGAAAGGCGGCCCGTCCTCCCCTGAGGCAGACCTGTTTCCGATTGGCTGCACTGTACCAAAAGGCGTGCAGGCGACGCAGGTGACCGGAAACAGAGAAGGAGCGCCTGAAGATGACGTAAACAATAATAAAAGTCATCATCGATCCTTGAGACGCACCAATGAGATTTTGCGTTGTTGGAGAGTCGACTTTGGGCGGAAGTGGCTTCGTAGACCGGGAGAAGAGAGATGGGGGTGAAGCTGGAGGTGTTTCGGGTCAGTGAGCGCAGGGGTGGGTTTGTTGAGTGACTGGACCGTGGCTCTTTTTAAATTTGAGAATAAATCTGGGAAATTAAAGAAATGCAACGAGAGGGGAGTTCCAGGGAGAAAGCATCTGGTATTTGGATTGGAAACACGGAGGAAGGCGCTAGATGGGGAGGCTCAGAATGGAGAGTCTGGCTTTGGGGGAACCTAAGAAGATTGATCTGAGGAAGTGGCTCAAAGATGGACGAACTGAAGAGGGAGGTTCAAGGAAGGGAGGTTTCAGATCCAGAGGGAGGGTTCTCAGAGGGGGAGCCCTGGGTTCAGGGTGGACCTCAGACTGACTTCTATGTAAAAAAAACAAGCCCTCTATTTGGGATACGATTAGGTGGTAAAGAGTTTTCAAGGAGCTGTCTTTGTGGTAGGAGGTCTTAGGCTGCTGAGGTCTGCTGAGGCTCTGTATTGCAGCTTAACCTCGCTCTCCCTTCCTCACTCTGACAGTCTCCATTCCATTCTGTCTACTGGAATGCTTTTGTTCTCATGTGCACATTAACTCGATTCTTAAACCTCCCTCTCTCTCTCTCTCTCTCTCTCTCTCTCTCTCTCTCTCTCTCTCTCTCGTTTTTTTTGCAAGGGAGACCCGAGACCCGGGTATACAAATAAAGCCTCCTGCATCATGGGGACCAAGTTTTAAGCTTGACAGCTTTCTGTGTCCCTGGTGGAATTTCAAGGGGGGCGGGGAGTTTCCTGGGGAGGCCCTGAGGCAGTGCTCCTGGCCTGTGTAGAGAATGTATCTCTCCAGGCTCTCCTGCAGCACTCAACACTACTCTGGTAGCGGCCATTCCAGGCCCTGCTCATCCACCCCTGCTTTCACAGATGTCTCTTTACCTCACTTTCCCCGTGGTTATGTTCTGGATCTCCAACCAGGCTGAGTGGTTTGAAGACTATGTTATCCAGCGCAAGGTGGGTATCAGGAGAGTGTTTGCTGGATCATTCAGGAGGTGGGGAAGTGGGAGGATGGCACACCAGTTTGCTGCTGGGAACCATTGTCGACATCCCATGAGTCAAACTTGTTCTGAATAAGGGACTCTGGAGTCTCCTGACTTGTGTCCTCATTTGTTACTTTGTTCCCACAGAGGGAGCTGTGGCCACGGGAGAAGGAGGACCAGGTAAGTAACCCATTCTTCTCAAGGTACTGGATCACCTTGGCTACTATGGATTGAGAATGAATATTTCACCCTGGGAGCTAGAGAGTGCAGTTAAAAGCACTGGTTGCTCTTACAGAGAACACAGGTTCAGTTCCTAGCTCCCACCTGGTAGCTAACAACCATTCGTAACTCCAGTTCCAGGGAATCTAGAATCTGATGCCCTCTTCTGGCCTCTGCAGGCATTACACAACATGAGTGCACATACATACATGCAGGCAAAACATTCATACACATAAAAATAAATAAAAAAAGAAATTTTCATCCTAAGCCTTAGATAGGGAATTGGAAGCAGAGAGATAAATAGAAATTCAAGGTTGTCTTTGACTACATTGGAAGTTTGAGGCCAGCCTGGACCCTGGACCCTGTCTCAACAAAAGTCTTATTGGTCGTGATGGTTTACACCTATAGCTCCATTTCTTGGAGGCAGAGGTACGATTGTCATGTTGAAGCCAGCCTGGACTACAGATGGAGACTTTGTCTTAAGAAAAAAAGACAAAATGTAGCTCAATTGGTGGAGTGGTTGCCTAGCATGCTCCAAGCCCTGGATTTGATGCCCTCAGCACTTAAACTGGTGGCAGTACATGCTATAATTCCAGTGCTTTGGAGGTGGAGGCAGAAGGACTGGCAGTTTAAGGGGATTACCTTCTACATAGGGAGTTTGAGGCCAGCCTATGCTATGTGGTGAGCCCTGTTTAAAAAGAAAAAGGAATCGCCAGGTGTGGTGGCACACGCCTTTAATCTTAGCACTCGGGAGGTAGAGACAGGTGGATCTCTGTGAATTCAAGGCCAGCCTGGTCTGCATAGTGAGTTCCAGGACAGCTGGGGCTGCAGGGAGACCCTGTCTCAAAAAGACTAAAAAAGGAATCATGTTCAAGTTCTTGTGTTCTTTCAACCAGTAGAACTATTTGTGGCTGTGACTATAGCACAGTTGATAGAGTGCTTGCCTGGCATGTATAAGGCCTTGTGCTTGATCCCTAGCACTGTATAAACAGGGTATGGTGGCACATTCTTGTAATCCTAGCTCTTGGTAAGTGGATACAAGAGGATCAGGAATTCAAGAGGAGGTCAAAGTTATCCCATCCTTGACTATATGAGTACATAGGGTGGTGGTACACGCCTTTTGTTCCAGCACTCAGGAGGCAGAGGCAGGTGGATCTCTGCAAGATTGAGGCCAACCTGGTCTACATAGCAAGTTCCCAGGTGGGCCTACAGGGAGACCCTGTCTCAAAAAGACTGTGAAAAATTTTTTTTACAAAGAGAGGGTTGGGCCGGGTGTGGTGGTGCACGTCTTTAATCCCAGCACTCAGGAGGCAGAGGCAGGCGGATCTCTGTGAGTTCAAGGCCAGCCTGTTTTCCATAGCGAATACAGGCCAGCTAGGGCTACAGGGAGACCCTGTCTCAAAAAGACCGAAAAACAACAACAACAACAACACTTATACAAATAAAATGTTTAAAATCATTAAAAAAAAAAAAAAAAAAAAACAAGCCCGGCCAGGCATGGTGGTGCATGCCTTTAATCCCAGCACTGGAGATGCTGAGGCAGACGGATCTCTGTGAATTTGAGGCCAGCCTGGTCTCCGTAGCAATCCAGGCCAGCCGTGGCTACCGGAAGACCCTGTCTCAAAAAGACAAAAAACAAACACCAAGGCTGAGTGTGGTGGTACACACCTTGAATCACGGCACTCAGGAGGCAGAGGCAAGGGAATCTGAGATCAAGGCCAGCCTGGTCTACACAGTGAGTTCCAGGCCAGCTGGGGGTAAAGGGAGACTGTCTCAAAAAGCCAGTGGTGATTGTGATTAGCATTCCCTTCCCCTACCCCAGCGCCAGGAACTAGAAGAATTCAAACAGAAAATACGGAAGCAGAGGGAAGAGAGACTCCTGCAAGCTGCCCAGCAGAACTCCTGAGACCTTCCAATGTCTGGGTCCTAGCCCCTCTGCCAATGAAATAACACTCAGTTCCTATTGCTTGTGTCCAGTCTTTTATTGTCTGCTTTCAGGGGCCCAGTGGGGGGCCCAGGATAACTGGAGTTCTCAGGGAGCTTGTGTCTGGGGCTGGGGGCTGCTGTTCCTGCGGAAGCCAAGTGCGGCAGGGTCCTGAGGGGTGAGCAGGGGTTGAGGGCTGAGGGTCCCAGGTCGCTTCTGCATTCCGTCCTGTGGATGAAGAATCATCAGCTAGAGAGACAGGACACAAACATAGCAGAGAGGGTAGGAGTCCATGTACCACCTCCTGGTGTGTGGCCATGCCCCTGTCCTCAAACACTAGTGTGGTGGTGGTTGGGTGTGAGATGGTGGGTCTTGGGGCTCTCCATGGGGTCTTGATCAGAGCCCAGGCTGTAGTAGTACACCTGTAATCAAAATACTCAGGAGGCAGAAGCAAGAAGTTCAGGTGAACCTGGTTTACATAGTGAGTTTCAGGCTGGCCAGGGCTATATAATGAGACCCTGTCTCAAAACAAAAAGACAGGGGAGATAGCTCAGTAAAATGCTTGCCATGCAAGCATGAGAACCTGATTTTGATCTACAGCACCTATACTAAAAAGTCAGGTGGGGGTGCACTCCCAGCACGGGAGAGGCAGAGAAAGGGGGATCCCTGGGCCTGACTGGCCGGTCAGTGGAACAGCTTGGTGAGTTCCAGACCAGTGAGAGAACCTGTCTCAAAAAAAAAGGGGAAAAAAAGGTGGGAAGGCCAGGTCTGATGGTGCACATCCTTAATTCCAGCACTCAGGAGGCTGAGGCAGTTGGATGTGGGATTGAGGCCAGCCTGGGCTACATGAGACCCTATCTCAAAAAACAAAACAAGCACTGGGCATAGCGATACGCACCTTTAATCCCAGCATTCAAGAGACTGAGGCAGGTGGATCTCTGAGTTCCAAGCCAGCTGGAGCAACGGGGAGACCCTGTCTCAAACAGACCAAAAAAAAAAAAGGACTGGAGAGATGGCTCAGTGGTTAAGAGCACCTCTTGCAAAGGACCTGGGTTCACTTCCCAGCACCCACATGGCAGCTAATAACTCTCCAGGGGATCCAACACCCTCTTCTGTCCTCTGTGGGCACTGCACAACATAGGTGCACTTAGATACATGCAGGCAATACACTCATATACCATAAAATAAAAATAAATTTTAAAAATAAATAATAATAATAAAAATAGAATTCAGGCTGTTTTGGTACATGAGAATATATGGGTGCATTCATCTGTGTGTGGGCTCCTGTATCCTCCTCTTGGAAAGCATATTTTCTCTGTTTGGCCTACCCCAAACCCACAGCTGTTTGGAAAGAAGCTGTACCATCCAGCTATAGCTCTGAGAACAGCATGATCCCTATATGACCTTGAGTCTCCTGAGTTCCATCTGCATGTTGGTCTTCCAGACTGAGTTCAGCACTGATGTTTGACAGATGGAGAGGTGGGGCTTAAGTTTAGAGACCTCAACCTGTGGGTGTCTCCCGAACACTGTAGACATCACTTACCTTGAGACCAATGGGCTGGAAGCCAGGCAGAGAGTTGACTGTCACACGCTGGTCATCCATGCGGCGGCCCTGAGTGCTGGCCAGCATATCCAGGAGATTGTCCATCTCGGGCGCAGGGCTACCCTCTGCATGGAGCAGAGGCAAGTGGGCATGAATACAGACACCAAAGGAGAAATCATGGCCATCTCCACCCTGAGCCCCCCAACATAGAAGCCTCTGGAACCCCTGAACTTCTGCCCTCAGCCTCCCAGGCAGCACTGCCCCATGTCCAGGCTCACGGTTCTCTGGGGTCTGGTCCTGCCCAGCCTGTAATGAACAGCGCTGCTCCTCCATTCGATCACTCTGCACGTGGCTCAGCAGGTTGAAGAAGCCCTCTTGGTCTGGTGAACCTGCCTTGGAGACAGACATCCATGCTGGGTTCAGCTGCATACCATACCTTTCCTTGTCTTCCCAGCCAGCGGCTCACACCTGGATCCGAATCTGCCTTCCCATCTCCCTCATCTCTCACCATGGTCCTTACAGGTCTGCAGAGCGGCTCCAAATGAGACATGACTCTCCTTCCCTAACCTGGGCCCCCGCCTTGGGGGGCCCCAGCCAGCAGCCCCATTTCACGTGGTACTGCCTCGAGGGACAGTGCCCTGCCTGTCCTAGATAGATAGAGATAGAGACCTGACTGAGGATAACTTGGCAGCTGGGACACCAGGGTCATGGGACTCAGAAGCGCCCCTGAATCCCAGCACCTGTCATCTCCTGGGGGGTCAGTGCCAAGACTCCCACCGTTTGCCCTGGGCAGGGGGCCAGGCATACATGAGTTTTTCCTACTGGAATCTCTGTGCTAACTGGGTCAGGGGACCCCAGAGACTCACTTGTTAATTAGATGCCCTATAAATGAATTAGTCCTGTCAATCACAGGTGCTGAGACCTCAAGAAACTGGAGGTGGGGTGGGGCGGAACTCTCTTACCTTCTCTATAGGGTCTGAGACCCGTTCCTCTCCCTTCTCTTGATCTGTCGTGTGTCTCCCCCACACACTGCTGTCCACTTTTCTAATGGCCTCTGACTGGTCCCTGCACCTGAGAGAGCCTTTTAAACAGGAAGGATGTGGAGGGAGGGGAGAGCACATACCTTCCCCCATCCCCAAATCCCCAGCTCACAGCCCATCTGCTCCCACCCATGATTAAGCCTTGGAAAGATGATCTCTTGATAAATGTTCATCCAGACCCATGCTTAGGTGGATGTGGGTGTAGGGGCAGGGCAGTCTGGGTTTGGACCTCACTAACCTCAGTTCTGCTCACAGGGCCTATAGCACTCTCAATTAGGGTATGTAAGAAGCCACTGCGATGTTGGCAAAGACCAGCCAATAAGAGAGCAGAGCATGTAGGATGTCCCCACCCCAGCCAGCCAGGGGCCCAGCTGGTACCTATGGGTGCATCCTCCTGAGGGCAGCTGACATCTGCAGGGAGGTAGCCAGGGAGGGAGCTGGGCCCCAGATGCCTCCCCTAATCAGTGCACCTGCTTACCACCCCCTAGGTCTGGTAACTCCCTCTGGGCTGCCAAACCAGAAACTCTGGGATCTCCTGTCCACCTGTACACACCACAAATGCTGAGTTGAGTGACCTTAGATCTCTCATTCTGGCCCCACCGGAAACAGGAGATGAAAACCCTGTTTGCTCCAATGGACAGCTGTGGATTTCTGTGCACACCCTCAGAACCCAGTCCCATCTTCAAGATACCATTCAGGAAAACAGAGTTCTTTTTTCTTCCTTTTTGTTTGCATATGCAGTGTATATGCACGTGTGTTCACGGGTGGGCTCATCCATGCATGCACATGTGAAGAGCAAAGACTCACTGACATCAGGCATCTTCTTTTGTTGCTCTCTCTTTAAAAAATGTAGGTCTGCTGGGTTAAAAAATTTTTATTAGTTATTTTTCCTTTATATGTTCAAGTTTTTTGCCTGCCTGTATGAGAATACACCTGCGTTGTGCAATGTCCATGTCCATAGAGGCCAGAAAGGGGTGTTGGATCCCCTAGAACTGGAGTTATGGATAGTTGTTAGCCATCATGGGGGTGCAGGGTACCAAACCTGGGTCCTCTGCCAGAGCAGTCAGTGCTCTTAACAGCTGAGTCATCTCTCCAGCCCTCCATCTTAGATTCTGAGATGGGGTCTGTCACTTAACCTGGAGCTCCTGGATTTAGCTAGACTGACTGGGCACTGAGCCCCCAGGATTCACTGGCCTTTGCTTCCTAGTGCTGTGGCTGCAGATGCGTGTGGCCAATCTAGCTTTTATGTGGGCACTGGGAATCAGAACTCAGGTCCTCACACTTCTGGAGCAAGTGCTTTATCTACTGAACCATGTCTCCAACTTGCCAACTTCCTTTCTCTTTAGTTTTCCTTTCTTTCTCTTGATTCTTTTTTCTTCTTTTCCTCCTCCTCTTCCCTTTCCTCCCCCCACTCTTCTTCTCCCTCTTCACCCTTCTCCCCTCCTCCCTCTCTTCTTCCTCCTCCTCTTCCCTCTCCTCCCCCCATTCTTCTTCCTTCTCTTCACCCTTCTCCCCTCTTCTTCCTCCTCCTCTTCCCTTTCCTCCCCCCACTCTTCTTCCTCCTCCTCTTCACCCTTCTCCCCTCCTCCCTCTCTTCTTCCTTTTTTCTCTTCTTCCTCCTCCCCCTCCTCCTCCTCCCTTTCCTCTTCTTCCTCTTTCCTCTTCTACCTCCTACTCCTCTTCTTCCTGTTCCCCCTCCTCCTCCCTCTCCTCCTCCTCCTCCTCCTCCTCCATTTTTGCAATATTGAAGATGGACCCCACAACCTTATAGGCAAGCTACACCCACAGCCCCTTTCTATTTTTGTGTGTGCAAGTGCTCATGTGTATACAAGTGCACGTGTTGGTGTGTATGTACTAGTGTGTGTTGGAGGTCAGAGGATAAACTTAGGTGTTGTTCCCTAGAAGGCACAAACTTTTTTTTTTTTTGACATGTTTTATCTCTGGTCTAGAAATAGTCTAGGCTGGCTGTCCAGCAAGACCCAGGAAAATTCCTGTTTCCATCCACCCAGTGCTGGGATTACTCACTTGACCAACTGAGCTATGTCCCCAACCTTTACAGCCCTTTATCACTTTTTCATTTTGAGACAGAGTCCTACTAAGCTGTTCAGACTTGCCTTCACCTCTCTCTGTAGCCTAAGCAGGCCTTGAACTTGCAATTCTCCTGCTTTAGCCTCCAGAGTAGCTGGGGTGACAGGCCTGTTACCACCATGCCCTACTAAACGTTTACTCAGCATGCTTACCACCCCACCCCCATTCCCGCTGCACACTCCCATCCAGGCAGGCCCCAAAGTGACCTATTCATCACAGAATATATGCACTTCCTAAGGGCTGCTGAAACAAAGTGTCCACACTGGGTGGCTTACAGCAGGAGGAATTTATTGTATCAATAAAAGTGTCAGGAGGGCCACATTCCCTTTAAGCCCAGGGGTTTTCAGGGTTCTTCCTTGCCCCTCACTGGCTTCTGGTAGCTGCCTAGGGTCCTTGGTGGTCGTTGGCTGGTGCCTGCAGCACTTCAGTCTTTGCTTGTGTGGACACATGACCCTCTTGGGCCATGTCAGTGACCCTAGGCCATTTTTTAAATGTCTGTATGTGGGTTGGAGAGATGGCTCAGCAGTTAAGAGCACTGACTGCTCTTGCAGAGGACCTGGGTTCAGTTCCTAGCACCCACAGGACAGCTCACAATCCCCTGTAACTCCAGTTCTAGGGGATTTAATGCCCTCTTTTGGCCTCTATGGGCACTGCATAGACATGGTGCACTTCTATCACGCAGGCAAAACACTCATACACATAAAACAAAAGAATTAATAAATGATATTCTGAAAAAAAGGGAGTAGGGTGAGAGGCTCAGGTGTTTACTGAAGGAGTAGGAGGCATTTCCCATACCCCCCCCCCCGCCACTAGTGAAGATGAAGCCGGGTGTGGTACCTTTAATCCCAGCACTCGGGAGGCAGAGGCAGGCAGATCTCTGTGAGTTCAAGGCAGGCTAGCTGGGGCTATAGGGAGACCCTGTCTCAAAAAGACCAAAAAAAAGTGAAGATGATCTAGATCCATCATACGTACTTAAGAAAGTGAAACTCAAACTCATTAAGTATAATTAACATATGCTAATAAAAAACTAATAAGCAGTCCTCTACAAACAGACTCTCGTTACAGATACACGATCGGTGTGTTCCCCTTCCTGTTCCTTTTTCTGCATGGGGGTGAGATGGCTCAGCAGGTAAAGGCAATTGCTACCAAACCTGACGACCTAAGTTAGATCCCTGGGATCCATATGGTGGAAGGAGAGAATGGATTCCTGCAAGTTCTCTGACCACCCCCTCCCCAGACTCTGTGGCGCATGCGTGCGCACATACACCAAATTAATTTTAAAAAAAGATTGAGAGAAAAACACAGTGAATCTCTAGGTTTCCAGAGTTGACCAAAGGGTGCCTGAGATCCTGCCCTTTGCGTGGACACACTATGTCACCGTCAGAGGAACTTCTGGACAGGGTGGCAGTGGTGCTTGGAAGAGATGAACATTTATATTGCCCTGCCATCGCGCTCAGTAAGCTGATCTCAATGTGTGAGAGCAAGGCAAGTACTCGGCCCAGCACCTAGACTCCCCGGAGGCGCACACAAAATGAAGAGCTGTGCCTCAAAGTCCCTCAGTGCGCACGTCCTCCTGTAGCTGACCAAGAACCCTGGCACAGTGGGGCGGGGCCAGGTGCGCAGGGGGCGTGTCCGACTTCGAGGGGCGTGTCCCATGTGGCTGACGCGCAGGACCACGCCCCCACCTTGGGACAGACCCGGAAGCGGCGGCGGTACTCTTGGGGGAAGATGGCGCCTTCGGGGCTGAAGGCTGTGGTAGGGGAAAGTGAGTGTCACCTCAGAGCTGAGCTCTGGTGTCCCCTGGGGTTCTGGCGGACCTGGGGCGAAGGGGCGGTGCCCGGACTTGGGGCTTCCAGGACCCTGATGGTGGGAGTCCGGAGATGGGCTGGGCTCCGGAGCACCTGACTCTCGAGGGGATGGGCGGGGTAACTTTGGCCCAGCTGGGCTCCTTGACCCCCAGGTGCAGCTGGCGGGACAAACTTGGGACGAGAGCTCAGAGGAGCTGGGAGAGGGTGGCGCACGCTGGAACCCAGACCTCTGGTCGTGGTAGGATGACAGCGAGAGAAAGATACAGCCTGTCCCTACCTTAGACTGGAGTGTTTGAACCCGAGAAGTTCAGGGGCTGGACTCGTGGGGTCCACAGTACACTGGTGGTATGTGAGCGCTCAGGTGGCGTGCACATGCCTCACGGGGGTGACGAAGGGGACACATTCTCTTTGGCATCATGTCTACGGACCCCCTACAGCCTGCAGAACTAGGAGTCCAGCTTCTAAGGCTCAGGTTCCTGCAAGGGGGAAGGGGGGAGGGAGTATAGAGGACGCCCCTCCCCCACCTCCGGTAGTTCCGGCCTCAGCTGCTCCTTCCGCTCTGATAAGAGTGGACTTGACACACCCGTTCCTTTCCCTTTGTCCCCACTCCTTCCTCTGGGCCAAACTGGCTGTTTGGTTCAAAAGCCCACTACATTGGGGAGATGGGGGAAACCGAGGCTTGGAAGTTGATTGAAATCCTTAGAGCTAGGAACCAGACGATTTGCATTCTAGTCTAAGTTGAGGTGGAGTGTGGCAGATGAGGAGACCCTGGCTCCCATACATTCAGGACTATAAGTACTTGTGTGTTAAGTACTATGCCCCTTTAGACATGAGGGTGCTTAGATGAGTTGCCTTTTCAGAGCCTCAGTTTCCCTAACTTTGTAAATTGGGGGTGATGCCAGGAGGTACCTCTCAGGATTAGGGTGGGAGTCCAGCCGAGAAGGGGGCAGGGCTTGGTGGGACCTGAGAACAGTCATCCTGAGCCCTCGCTTCCCCTTTCTCCTGTCCCTGTAGAAATTCTGAGCGGAGTCATTCGGAGTGTTAAAAAGGATGGCGAGTGGAAGGTAGGAACTGAGGCAGAGTGCCTGGGTACCCAGAGGCATTCTTTTGCCCAAATTCATATAGGGACCTTGGAATGTGGGAGTCTCTGTGATAATTCCTTGAAAGCCTATTGTTTCATAGGTTGAGGGTTGGGAGGTTGGGTACCCTTGAAATGGTCAGTCCTCCCAATGCTTCCATTCCTCCTGGGGCCTGCTAATGGCCTCTTCTGCCTGGCTTACCTGTCTGCACACCCATGTGTCCATCTATTCGGACAGGTGCTTATCATGGACCACCCAAGCATGCGGATCCTGTCATCCTGTTGTAAAATGTCAGACATCCTTGCAGAGGGCATCACCAGTGAGTGTTTTCACATGCTCCCTAGATAGAACCTTGAGTGTGGGATCCCTTCAAGTCATCCCAAGTGTCTAGTTCTTCTGATGTAACAGAGAGCATGTGGCCAACTGCTTCCCTTGAGTGAGGAAATCCATGGAATTCCATGAAGGACTTCCTTCGTGTGCAACCCCAAAGGGGTGAGCTTTATTGATTGTGCACCCCTTGGGCTGGGGGTGTAGCTCAGTGCTTGCCTAGTATGCAGAAAACCCTGAATTTAATCCCCAGCAGTGCATAAAATGGGTGGTGGGTGGTACATGCCTGTCATCCCAGCACTCAGGAGGTAGAGGCAGGAGGATCAGAAATTCAGTCATCCTCAGCTAGTGAGTTCAAGGTTGACTTAGGGTACATGAGACCCTATCTCAAACAAATCAATGATTGTGTACCCCCTCTATTTGTAAATCTGTGTAAGATACCTGGCATGGACTCTGTGAGTCCCCAAGAATTCCCCAAGGATATGGCCATATGCAGAGCCTGACTGTAGCCATAGTTGGGGGATCCCAAGGTATATATCTCTGCTTAGGAACTTAAGGGAGTGCAGTTCTTTTAAACAGCCCCCCACCACTGGATCCTGTTCCCCAAATCTGAGACTCTCTGCCCATCCCCTTCTCCATGCCACTCATGTGTCTCCTCCTCTGTTGCTACTAGTTGTGGAAGATATCAACAAACGTCGAGAACCCATTCCCAGCTTGGAGGCCATTTATTTGCTAAGCCCTACAGAGAAGGTGCCTACAGAAGCATGTGTGTGTGTGTGCATGGTGCACAAGTCAGGATGCATACACATCATAATGCATGTGTACTCATGTCACAATGCAAATGTATGCCTGTATGTGCATATCAATGTACATATGTACATGTGCATGTGCACATGCATGCTAGTGTGTGTAAGAGTGGAAGCATTTGTGCATGTACATGTCAATGTGTATATGCAGGGGGCATGTGTGGGCATGTGTGTATGCGTGTGCTATGTGCACAAATCAAGAGTGCATGAATATATGTGTGTATGCACATGTCAAAATGCTTCTATGTGCACACTCAGGATGCGCTTGGGTGCACATATCACTATGCATGTATACCTGTATGTGCATGTCATTGTGTGTATGTATGTATATGTATGTGTGTATGCCCGTTAATGCATTCATATGCACACATATATCAGAATGTATGCACATTCATGTGTGCAGATCAGAATGCTTGTGTGTGTTGTATGTGTGCATGTCAGATTGTATATGCATGTCTTATGTGTATGGACTTGTCAGAATGTGTGGGTTTGCATGCCTCACACATTTGCATGTAGTGGGGAATTAGTATCAGCTGGGGGGCTCCTGCAGAAGATAGGTCTTGGGGTGCAAGGTCTGACGCCAACAGTGATCTGCACTCTCCAGTCGGTTCAGGCCCTGATTGCAGATTTCCGAGGGACCCCGACCTTCACCTACAAAGCAGCCCATGTCTTCTTCACTGACAGTGAGTGAGGAGAACCTATGGTATTGGGGGGCTGGGGTGATGTGGGGAGTATGGAGTGGGAGCATCAGTATGACAGGTCCTCCTTGCCCACTCCAGCCTGCCCTGAGCCCTTGTTCAGTGAGCTGGGCCGTTCTCGCCTGGCGAAGGTGGTAAAGACACTGAAAGAGATCCACCTTGCTTTCCTCCCCTACGAAGCCCAGGTACAGCCCAGCTTAGGGTGGGGAAGGGCTGGGGTGTCCCTAACCAGATAGCCCTGGCTCCCTTTAAAGAGAAAGAACAACAGTGGGTCAGAGAGTGCTATCCCTCTGGGAATGTCTAGGGGGCAGCATGGAGCACTGGGCAGCTGGAAGCTTGGCTGCTGTGTCTCCTATATTGGCGGCCCTGGTACTTCTGTCCTCCTTAGGTATTCTCTCTGGATGCCCCACACAGCACTTACAACCTTTACTGCCCCTTTCGGGCAGGGGAGCGGGCACGGCAGCTTGATGCATTGGCCCAGCAGATAGCCACACTGTGTGCCACCCTCCAGGAGTACCCTTCCATCCGCTATCGCAAGTGAGAAACTAGCCCTGTCCCAGCCCCAGTGCTGCCTTCTGGCCCTCACTCCCATATCCATATTTATCTGTGTATACATGTGTTCATGTGTGTGCATATGTGTGTGTTTGCATGTGGAGGTCAGAGATCAACCTTGAGTGTCTTCCTCAGTCACCATCCACCTTGTTTTTGTTTTTTTTTAAAGACCTTTTATGTTATTTTAAAATTTTGGTGGTAGTGCACACCTTTAGTCCTAGCACTTGGGAGGCAGAGGAAGGAGGATCTCTGAGTTTGAGGCCACCCTGGTCTACTTAGTGAGTTCCAGGCCAGCTGGGGCAACAGGGAGACCCTGTCTCAAAAAGACTAAATTAAAATGTTACTTATTTTTTGTTTTTTTATGTGTATGAGTGTTTTGCCTGCATGGATGCAAGTGCACCTGGGTCATGCAATGCCTGCAGAGGCCAGAAAAGAGCATTGGATCCCTGGAACTGGAGTTTCAGATGGTTATTAGCTGCCATATGAGTGCTGGGAACACAAGCCCAGTCCTTTGCAAGAACAGCCAGTGCTCTCCAGCCCCTGCTTGATTTTATTTTATGTGTATGATTGTTTTGCTGTGTGTATATAAATGCACTATGTGAGTGCAGTGCTCAAGGAGGCCAGAAGAGAGTGTCAGATTCCCTGGAGTTAGGGACAGTTGTTAGCTGCCATGTGGGTGATGGGAACTGAACCTAGGGCCTCTGCAGGAACAGCCAGGGGCTAGAGCTATCTCTCTAGTCCCTATTTTATTTAAAAAACATTTTATTTATTTATTTGTTTATTTATTTATTTATTTCGGGGGGTCTTTTTGAGACAGTATCTCCCTATAGCTCCAGGTGGCCTGGAACTCACTATATTTATTATTAGTAGTATTTTAAATTTTATTTTTTTAAATTTATGTGTATGTGTGTATTGCCTGCACGTAGGTAAATGCACCCGTGTCATGCAATGCCCACAGAGGTCAGAAGAGGCTGTCAGATCCCCTGGGACTGGAGTTATGGACAGTTGTTAGCTGCCATGCGGGTGCTGGGATTCGAACCCAGGTCTTCTTCAAGAACAACCAGTGTTCTTAACTGCTGAGCCATTTTTCCTGCCCCCTATTATTTTTATGTGTATGAGTGATTTTTTTTGGCTGCATGCATGTAAGTGCACTACATAAGCAATGCTCACATGGGGGTACTGGGACTTGAACCCAGGTCCTCTGGAAGAACAGCAAGTATTCTTAACTGCTAAGCCACCTCTCCATCCCTCCTATTTTATTTTTAATTATGTGTGTGTGTCTTTGTGTGTATGTGCATATGAGTGCAGGTGCCCATTGGAGTCCAGAAGAAGAAATTGGATCCCTTGGAGCTAGAGATACAGGCAATTATGAGGCAACCAATGTGGGTGCAGAGAACTGAACTCGGGTTTCCTGGAAGAGCAGAATGCATTCTTAACTGCTCAGCCATCTCTCTAGTCTCCATCTTGTTTTGGGGGATAAAGTTCCACCCTGACCTGGGGCTTCCAGTTTGGCTAGACTGGCTGGCCAACCCCAAGGGTCCACCAGTCTCCACTTCCCCAGTGCTGGGATTGCAAGGGATGTTTTTTTTAATTAAGATAAGGTCTCACTGTGTAGCCCTGGTTGGTTTGGAACTCGAGATGTAGATCAGACTGGCTGTGAACTTAAGAGAGATTCACCTGTCTCTGCCTCCCAAGAGCTGGGATTAAAGGTGTGTGTCACCAAACCCGATCCAGACTTTTTTTAAAACATGAAATCTGGGGGATTGAGCTCTGGTCCTCATGCTTGCATCGCAAGCACTTCGTCACCTCAGCCATCTCCCCAGCTCCTATACCCTCGCCCTGGCCCCCGATCCTCCTTTCATCTGTGCCCAGTCCTCCCAGCTCTCGTATCCTGATGCCTGTGTGTCTGATTGTACCACCCCTAGGGGTCCGGAGGACACAGCCCAGCTGGCCCATGCTGTCCTGGCCAAGCTGAACGCATTTAAGGCAGACACTCCCAGTCTGGGCGAGGTGAGGGGGCACTTGGGAGGTGCCAGGGAGGTTCTGCAGGGTCACTGCCATGGTTAGAATTAATGTCCCTGCCCCTCCCGCCCCAGGGACCCGAGAAAATGCGCTCACAGCTACTCATAATGGACCGAGCGGCAGACCCCGTGTCCCCACTCTTGCATGAACTCACGTTTCAAGCCATGGCCTATGACCTGCTGGACATTGAACAGGACACATATAGGTGGGAAGATCTGGAAGGTCCCTGCCTCCCCCTCTGCTAGCCACCTAGATCCTTGGGCCTCAGCTAGTGCTCTAGACTTCTATGTGCTTCCACACCTCTTGCACCTACAGATATGAGACCACAGGACTAAGTGAGTCCCGGGAGAAGGCTGTGCTTCTGGATGAAGATGATGACCTATGGGTGGAGCTTCGACACATGCACATAGCAGATGTCTCTAAGTGCGTGCTTGCCATGGGTGCTGGTGGGGTGGCCCCCTGGAGACACCTAGACTTCAAGTCACTTTTTTTTTTTTTTTTGTCTTTTCTGAAACAAGGTCTCCCTGTAGCCCCAGCTAGCCTGGAACTCACTATGTAGACTGGGTTGGCCTTGAACTCACAGAGATTTTTAAATTTGTTTTTATGTTCTATGAGTGTTTTGCCTGCATGTATGTAAGTGCACCTGTGTCGTGAAATGCCTGTGGAGGCCAGAAGAGGGCATCAGGTCTTCTGGAACTGAAGTTAAGGACAGTTGTTAGCTGCCATATGGGTGGATGGGAACTGAACCTGAATCCTCTGCAAGAGCAGCTAGTGCTCTTAACTACTTAGCCATCTCTCCAGCCCCTCAAGTCACTCTTGATGACCCCTCTAAAAATGGCATCCTTCAGCAGGACTCTTGACATGCCTCTGACCTCACTGCATCCCCAGTGTACCCCCATGTCCTGGTACTGGTACACGCATCCCGTTTTCTCCCATCACCTGGCAGTGAGACATCACCCCAACACAGTGTCTTAGTGCTTTCTGTTCTCTCCTGCTTCATCTCATGGCTAGGAAGGTTACAGAGCTCCTGAAGACGTTCTGTGAGAGCAAGCGATTGACCACTGACAAGGTGAGGGCTGGACCATGTGGGACAGGGCCTCATCTGTACTCAGTCTGGAATGCAGGGCGGGGTCTGGACTCAGACTTCTCCCTCTCTTACTCCAACCCCAGGCCAACATCAAAGACCTGTCCCACATTCTGAAAAAGATGCCTCAGTATCAGAAGGAGCTGAACAAGGTAAGCTGGGCTGTGTGGACTGTTAGCTGCAGACAGGCTCAGTCTGGCTCCGTAACTTGATGTCCCACCCTGCACCCTGCAGTATTCTACGCACCTGCATTTAGCTGATGACTGCATGAAGCGCTTCAAGGGCTCTGTGGAGAAGCTGTGCAGTGTGGAGCAGGTGGGGTAGGGCCTGTGGGAAGGGTGGGGCCTTTGGGAGGAACAGGGTGGGGCTTCTGGGAGGGGTGGGGCCACAGGTAGGGTGGGACTTCCAGGAGGCAGCGCTTGGAGAGGAGGAGGGGTGGAAGGGGGTCTCCAGAAGGCAGCACTTGGGAAGAGGAGGGGCCTCAGGGGGCAGGCTCTCCCGGAGGTATAGCTTAGAGAGGGGTGGGACCTCTAGGAGGGTAGGGCCCCAGAGAGGGGTGGGTCATCCAGGGGGCAGAGCTTGGGGGTGGGGCCATCCAGGGGATAGAGTTGGGAAGGGGCAGGGTTCAAAGAGGGGATCGAACTCTCAAAGTCAGCTTGTGGTGGGAGGGGAAGGGCTTGTGGAGGAGATGTCTTAGATAGGCATGGGTCCTGGGTGAAGGATGGAGCCTTAGGGAGGTGAGTGGCGCCTTACCTTGAGGCAAGACCTAAGTGAGAGGGAGATTATGGGGAGAGTGTGCACTGTTGGGCATGTCATCCGGAGACTCCGTTTTTAGGATGAGGTAGGATGGGAACGTTTTGCAAGGATCCTGGATTGCCCCTTCCTCCCACCCGCTTCCTCCCCCAGCAACTGGCTGGACAGCTGACCCTCATGCCCCATAGGACCTGGCCATGGGCTCTGACGCAGAGGGAGAGAAGATCAAGGATGCCATGAAGTTGATCGTCCCAGTTCTGCTGGATGCAGCAGTGCCACCCTACGACAAGATCCGCGTCCTGTTGCTCTACATTCTTTTGCGGAATGGTGGGTGAGGGGGCATCTAGCAGGGAGTCAGGACACCTCAATTCACCAATGTCTCTAGTAGTTGTAGGAACTGTCCAGTTCTACAAGTCCCCCAGTCACCAAGCATGCTGTCCTTTCCTATTGCTGTGATAAAATACTCTGAAAAAAAAAAAAAACAATTCAAGGAGTCAGGAATGATGGTGCATGCCTTTAATTGGGATTGAAACACTTGGGAGGCTGAGGCAGGGCTATCTGTGAGATTGGGGCTAGCCTGGTCTTCATAGTGACTTCTAGGCCAGCTGGGGCCGCAGGGATACCTTGTTTCAAAAAATCCAAAACAAAAAATTAAGGAAGAAAGGGTTGTTTGGCTTACATCTCCAGACTACAGAGGACAAGGCAGTGGCGCCTGAAGCAGCTGCTCACATCACATCCACAGGGGTGGCGCAGAGCAGTGACCTCATTACATGCCTGTGTGGCTCCCTTTTCTCTACCTTCTTTTTCTTCTTTTCTTTTTTGAGACAGGGTCTCCCTGTAGCTCCAGCTAGCTTGGAACTTGCTATGTAGCCCAGGCTGATCTTGAACTCACAGAGGTCGGCCTGCCTCTGCCTTCTGAATGCTGGGATTAAAGGCATGTGCCATACGCCCAGCCTTCTCTACTCTTTTAAAAAAAAATTTATTTACTTATTTTTTAAAAAATATTTTTTTTATTTTATGTGTATGAGTGTATTGGCTGCATGTAGATAAGTGCACCCGTGTCGTGCAATGCTCGCGGAGGTCAGAAGAAGACTTTGGATTCCCCTGGAACTGGAATTAAGAACGGTTTGTGGCCACAATGTGAGTGCTGGGAATCGAACCCAGGTCCTCTGCAAGAGCAGTCAGTGCTCTTAACCGCTGAGCCATCTCTCCAGCCCCATTTACTTTTTATTTTTTGTGTATGAATGTTTTACCTGCATGTATGTAGGTACACCAGTGCATGCAGTGCCCATGGAGGTTAGAAGACAGTGTTGAATCCCCAGGAACGGGAGTTGTGAGCTGCCATGTGGGTACTGGGACCCGAATTCAGGTCCTCTGCAAAAGCAGCCAGTGCTGTTGTCTCTCAGTATCTTGGAGCTTGCCAATTCAGCTAGACTGGAATTCTTCTGTCTCTCTTTCTCCAGCACTGGGATTATAGGCATATCTGACACCCTCTTCCGACCTCCACAAGCCTTGTTCGACATGGGTGCACTTGCACCCATGCAGGCAATATATACATAAAATAATAATAAATAATAATGAAGAAACACACATAGCTACTGGTTTTTTAAGTGGGTGTTGGGAATTTGAACTCAGGTCCCTCTGCATGCATGTGCAGAGGCCAGAAGAGGCTGTCAGGTGCCCTGCTCTGTCACGCTCTGTTTTATATACCCTTGAGAGAAAGCCTCTCTCTGAACTCGGAGTTAGGCTGGTGGCAGCAAGCCCCAACGATCATCTTGTCTTCCCACTCCCACCCCTGCACAGCACTGAGGTGTATAAACATGCACACACTGACTGCCACACCCAGGTTTTTATGTGGGTGCTGGGGATTTGAACTCAGGTCCTCATGCTTGCATAGCAAACACTCTATTATGCTGTCTCTCCAGCTCCTTTCAGCTAATTCTCAGGGATTCCCTCATTCTGTCTTATCAAGGGTAGCTATCCATAATTCTTTTTTTTTTTTTTTTAAGTTATTTGTTATTTCTTCTGGGAATGGGGGCATACACCTTTAGTCCCAGTGCTCAGGAGGCAGAGACAGGCAGATCTCTGTGAGTTCAGTGCCAGCCTGGGTTACATAGTGAGTTCCAGGACAGTTGGGGCTACAGGAAGACCCTGTCTCAAAAGACCAAAAACAAAATTGCTTATTTTTATTTTATGTGTATGAATATTTTGCTTGTCTGTATTTAAGTGTACCGCATGTGCAATGCCTATGGCGGCCAGAAGAGGCATCAGGTCCCCTGGAACTGGAGTTAGATACGTTTTCTTTTTTTTGGTCTTTTTTGAGACAGGGTCTCCCTGTAGCCCTAGCTGCCCTGGAACTCACTATGTAGACCAGGCCGGCCTTGAACTCACAAAGATCCTGCCTCTGCCTCCCAAGTCCTGGGATTAAAGGCGTGCGCCACCACACCCGGCTAGATACAGTTTTATGTGATACTGGGAACTAAACCTGAGTCCTCTTAAAGAGCAGCCAGTGCTACTAACCACTGAACCATCTCTCCAGCTTCTAATTCTTCTTTTCTACCCAAACTGGAAGCCCCATTCCTTCCCGAATATCGTAACCTGTGAAGGTATCTCTTTATAAATCTTCATACAGGACTCTCCCCATCTACCCTCCATCACCCTGTTGTTTTCCCCTAGGTGTGAGTGAGGAAAACCTGGCCAAGTTGATCCAGCATGCCAATGTGCAGGCCTACAGCAGCCTCATCCGGAACCTGGAGCAGCTGGGGGGCATCGTCACCAACTCCTTGGTATGTGGGGAGCTGGCAATGGGTAGAGCCTGGCTCCTGCAGGGGTTGGCGATGGCGCATGCTCAGCCCAGGTGTATAAACATGGCGCTTGGCTCGTCAGGGACCAGGAGCACCAAGGCCCAATCCTGGATCACATGACAGGCAGTAGGGCTGAGGTGGGGCTCACTGGACTCCGAGGCAGTTTGGGCTGTGTGGTCTGAACCCTTAGGACCAAATGGTAGGGTCACTAGCAATGGGCAACAGGGTCAAACTAGGGGTTCTGTAGGCCTCAGTGAACCTCTCAACACACCCAGCACACATGGTGGCTTCCTGTATGCCGTTCTCAATTGGGTCTCTCCCGTCTCTCTCTGATTTGTGCATCCCCTGAGCCTGCTATACCACAGGCCTGTGACTATTGGGTCCCCTCTGTCCCTTATCTGTCTCATTATTTTAAGGTAGGTTTGACTGTAGCTCAGGCTGGCCTTGAACTCACTGTGTAGCCCAGGCTGGCCTTGAATTTGTGACTGTCCTCTTGCGTCAACCTCCTGAGTGCCTGGGATTACAGGCATTTGCTGCCACACTTACCCCTTTCTTTTGCTGGCTCCGGTTTCTCTGTACCCTTCACCTGACCCCCATCTTCCTTTTTCTTCATTCCCTGTCTCTCCTCCCATTTCCATCCCTTCCATGTTTCCCTTTCTATCACCATCTCTCCATCCCTGTAACTTTCTGTCTCTGTCTTTATCTCTCCATCTTTGTGTCTTTTTCTCTCTGTATGTCTCCGTCTCTGCCTCTGTCTCTGCCTCTATCTTGTCCTATATCTGTCTCTGTCTCTGCCTCTGTGTCTCTGTCTCTGTCCCGATCTCTGTCTGTCTCTGTTACTCCTTGTTTGTCTGTCTTTCTGTGCCTTCTGCCGCTCTCTCTCTCTCTCTCTGCCTCCCTCACCCTCCTTCCCTCCTCGTCCCTCTCCCCCTCCTCTCCCTCTCCCTACTCCATTTCTCTGTCTTTCTCTGTACCCTAGTAGCTGAGGTTGCAGTCCCATCTGTGACTCATCTCCTTCCCTTCCCAACCCCCATCCGACTCCACCTGGCCCCCTCTGTAGGGCTCTGGGACCTCCAACCGGCTGGAGCGGAGGGAACGCACAGAGCCCACCTACCAGCTGTCTCGCTGGTCCCCAGTCATCAAGGACGTGATGGAGGTACCTCAGGTTGGGGGGCCCCATTCGTCCCTCATTGACCCCATCAGTCCCCTCCCCCTTGCTCTTAGCACTAAGCCTTGGGGCTTAGTGGAAAATCCCTCGTTATCACCATTCCCCTGGTACCCAGTCTACTCTACCCCGGGTGACACCCCCAAGCCTCACCCCAGGAATTGGAGAATCGGAGGGACTCCTTGCTGGAGACCCTAGCTTTCTTTTTACCCTCTGTGTCTTCCTCTAATCTCTCCCCTGCCCCACTAGAAGCCTCTCTCATGGTAGTGGTCCCTGTCTACCCTGACACCCCAAAACCTTAAAATCAAATAGTACCATCATGGGGCTTGGTTTTTGCCAGTCCTTGGAGGGTTCTAGCACCTCCTGCTTGGAAGCCCAGTCACCTTGCACATTGGATGCCTGGACTTCTGGATCTCTAAGGGCAAAGATATCCAGGCAATGGCTCTGTGGCCCCTGAGCATTCCAGTTCCAGGGGTCCATTGTCTGGGACTGTTCAAAATCTTTTCCCCCTTTGGCCACCAGGACGTGGTGGAGGACCGGCTGGACCGAAAGCTGTGGCCTTTTGTGTCAGACCCTGCCCCTACGCCTAGTTCCCAGGCTGCAGTCAGGTGAGGGTCTTGTGAGGTCCTGGATCAGGGTTGGAATATCCAGCCTGGATTAACTTCTGTCTCCCATCCTACCAGTGCACGATTTGGCCACTGGCATAAGAACAAAGCTGGCGTCGAGGTTCGGGCTGGGCCCAGGCTCATCGTGTATATAGTGGGTGGTGTGGCCATGTCTGAGATGAGGGCTGCCTATGAGGTGACCAGGGCCACCGATGGCAAATGGGAGGTGCTCATAGGTGAGTAGTCAAAACTGGAGTCCCTGGGGACTAGAATAGGGCTTCTGGGGGTCTAGGGCTGAACTCTGGGGTTTTGTGGGGTCTAGGGGTAGACTCTGGGGTCCCATGGGGTTTGGGTCTGGAATATGGGGTCTAGGGCTGGACTGTGGGTCTCTTGGAGTATAGAGCTAAACTTTCAGGTTTCTGAGGGTCTGGGGCTGAACTTGGAGGTCTTTGGGTTTCGGAGCTGGACTCTGGGGTCTCTGAGGGGTTTGGGCTTGAGTTCCCTAGGGAGTGGTCACCTGGGGCTGGACGCTAATACTCCTAAAGTTCTGGATTCCTGAATCCATGGGAAGACAGGGCCGTGCATTGCAGAGGGGTAGAAATTGGCCCGAATCATCCAGGCCTCTGTCCAAGGGATATTAGAGTCCCAGGCAGCATCCCTACCTGCCCAACCTTCCCCTCTTGCCCAGGTTCTTCACATATCCTTACCCCAACCCGCTTCCTTGATGACCTCAAGACCCTGGATCAGAAACTGGAGGACATTGCTCTGCCCTGACCCTGCCTACTGCCTCTGCCTCCTGTTCCAGAGAAATAAACTCTTCCCTCTGTCTTTCCACCAGGGCTCACCTCATTTTCTTTTTTAGAGGAAGCTGTGCTGAACCAGACCTGTCCTGCAGACCTCCCCACAACCCCACTGTCTGAACCCCCTTCCCCTCTACCCCTCAGGGCATTTGTGGCTGTCATAAAGTTTGAGGACCTGGGCTGTAGTTTCAATATTGGCTTGAAGCTTTGCCAGCTGTGAGGCTGAGACTCACTTGCTGGGTCCCTCTTCCCAAACCCCAGGCCTCATCACAGCAGATGCTTTGTTAGAGGAGGTAGCAGAGAAGCGCAAGATAGTGGATGGCAGGGCCAGGACTGCATTGTTACTAGAATTATTTTGACTCCTTGGTTAGAATTATAAACAGGTAGAATAGGCTGCATGCTGACCCCCTTCCCTACCATCTCCCAGGAGGGGTCTCAACTGGAGTTTGTAGCCATACCAGGCTGAAGACCCTAGCTCCAGGGATCAGAGCGTGCATTCAAGCCCAAGCAGACACAAAGCAAGCTCCCTGCTTATTCTCCTCTCTTGCCCCAGGGTATTCCTGGGACTCCCGACTGCAGGACTTTTCAGAGCCTTTAGTGAGCCTTATGTTCATTAGGGCTCTCCTAAAAAGCACCCCAGGAGCTGGAAGAAATGGCTCACTGGTTAAGAAAATGTATGCCAGGGGTTGGAGAGATGGCTCAGCCATCAAGAGCACTGGCTGCTCTTGCAGATGACCAGGGTTTTGTTCCCAGCACCCACATGATGGCTAACACCCATTGTTAACTCCAGTTCTAGGAGATCTGACGCCTTCTTCTCTTCTTCTCTTTTTCTGGCCTCCATGGGCATTGCACGACGTAGGTGCACTTACACACATGTATCCGAAACACTATTATACATAAAATGATGTTTAAAAAAAGAAGGCTGGCTATGGTGGCACATGCCTTTAATTCAAGCACCCAGGAGGCAGAGGCAGGCAGATCTCTGTGAGTTCAAGCCCAGCCTGGTCTACATAGGGAGTTCAAGGCCAGTTGGTGCTGCAGGAAGACCCTGTCTCAAAAAGAAAAAAAGCCAACTGCTTTTGCAGAGGACCTGAGTTTGGTTCCCAACACTCGAATTGGGCAGCTCACAACTGCGTGTAACTCCAGTCCCAGTTACATTCTTTTCTGGCCTCTGAGGGCACCATCACATGAGCATATATGCACACATACACTTACACTGTGTAGCTTAACAGGAATTTATCCCATAGTTCTGAAAGTGACTTTATGCCCAAGATGTTGGCTTGGTTGGCTTGTAGATGCCCAGGGTTTTGTTTGTTTGTTTGTATAAGGGTCTCTTTTAGCTCAGACTGGCCTCAGATTTGTTATGAAGCCAAGTATGACCCTGAACTCCTGCTCCTCCTGCCTCCATCTCCCAAATGGGATGACTGGTGTGTACTACCATGCTGCATTTATGCAGCGTTGGGGATGGAACCCAGGGCATCATACATGTAGGCAATCGCTCTACAATTGAGCCCCATCCACAGCCCCTAGTTTGGTCACCTCCCTGTATCCTCCCATGGCTGTCCTCCAATAGATGTCTGTCCCATTTTCACTTTCTTCTTACAAGGACAGTACTGTTGGATTAGAGCCCACCCTGTGCCCTCGTTTTTTTTTTTTTTTTAATTATCTTTTAAAAGATCTTGTCTCTAAATATAGTCATCCTGGATACTTAAGGGTCAGAAGT